AGTAGTAGGAGTAGTAGGAGTAGTAGGAGTAGTAGGAGTAGTAGGAGTAGTAGGAGTAGTAGGAGTAGGAGTAGGAGTAGGAGTAGTAGTAGGAGTTGTTTACCCATTCGAGTCCAGAACGCAATTCTTTCGATAGAGCACACTCACTGGTGGGAATTTTCACAAGTAATATTTTTGAAAATTATAATGAAGATGACAATCTAATTCTACTTCTACAGGTTCTAATCATCGAAGCATCGAAAATAAATACCCAATCAATATTCCCATCTCCTATGTCCACCGGATCAAGCGGGATTTCGAATTTCCCTCCAAATTGGTTCTGCGGAAACATGGTCGCCCAATTTGCCGCTACTGTGTATTCTCCTCTATTAGAGCCCAGGAAAGGATAGATAGCTTGATAGCTTGGTACAGAATTAGAGCACAGTAACTCTGAGTATCAGTGTATCTAACTCAGTAATTCTCAGAATTACTGTGTATCTAACTCAGGACTTCTCAGAATTACTGTGTATCTAACTCAAAAATTCTCAGAATTACTGTGTACCTAACTCAGTAATTCTGAGAATTGGGAATTACTGAGTATCTGTATACACAGGTACACAGAATTCCGAGTATCTACTAGAGCCCAGGCTAGCCCAGGAGAGCTACTGTGTATTCCCCTCTATTAGATGAACCCCTATACTAGCCCAAACCAAGTCACTTCTTCAACACATTTCTTCCTAATGATCCCAAGAAGGGACCATGACCACGAGAAAAAATTTTTGGTCCAGTTTTGTGCAAATGAATTACTTAATTCTAGTAGTAGTAGTAGCAGTAGTAGTTAACCCATTCACGGGGTACAGTCCGAACTTCAAAGAAAGGGGGAAGGGGAAGCAAGAGTTTGCTGTTTCAGCCCTTAACTCTAACCTTCACCGGTATCGGCATGTCGTATTCTTTGCCCCCAACCTTCCACTGGAATTTGCATATTCTCAAATTGCTAGTTGGACCATACGCTTCGTCTGCCCTATGTTGAAGATATGATTGACATTATAATGGAGAACCGCGGAAGAAAATGAGAATATTTTTTCCCCAACTAGAAGTAGAACAGTTCAAACATGTTCAATCACAAAAAGAAAAATCTATGTACCCCCGGCAGTTCGACAACTAGCATCACAAATCTTCAGATTTATACCGAGTCTGTGTATGATCTAATGCTGAATCAACATCAGTAATTTACCAAGTCTGCGTGTCTAATGCTGAATCAATAGCGCCTTCTTGATCGAGTGCCACGTTCTCCGCACCATCCCTGAGATCTACGAAGACCTCGCTCATGTCCGTCAGTTCCTCGCATAATGGCATTCTTGGCCGTAAAACAATGCCCTCATTGTTTTTGACTTGCAGAGGTACTCGGAAACTGGCTATTAGAAGTCGTGAAGTTGAGGTTTGATAGATATGGTAGTACGAAATCCAAATCTTTTAGTAGGAAGGAAGTGAATTCCTGTTGCAGTAGTGCGTGGTGAAGTGCTTTAGGTTCAAAAAGATATGTTCTAACTTTGCCGGAAATAGTAACAGAATCTAACTTTTGTACAACTCAAAGATTTCTTTGGCCTTACAACACTCAGCAGCATAACTACTCTGAGCATGATTTCTTCTTAAATGTGGATAGCATTGCTTCTGATACCGCAGCGCTGTTACTAGTGCGAGCCATCGCACATGCTGCTTCCCATCCCCAACTGCAATGGTGAATTTTTCACCATGACAATGCGCAACGATTCGCATCTTCGACAAGAGCACCGCAAAGGCAAGTACTTACAACTCTGACAAGATGTCTCGCTTTCCCTGGTAGAAGTCGACACGCGAAGAAGAAGGGCAAGAACAAGATTGACGGTCTTCTACTACTTGCTACTACTTGCTTCTTCACTGGTAGAAGTTTACAATATTTTTTTTGTTCGTCTCTTAATATTCTGGGCTCTACTATACAATGGCGACACTGGATACGAAAGATTCTGGACGAAGACCTACTTGAGAAGCGTCGCGAGTGTTCTATTAGCTACGCCGGATCGCGGATGCCGGCAGAGACGAGCAAATAGTCCTCTCAGACTCAGTGTCGTTCGGGACCCTAAGCCTAACTAAGAAGGTGTCGAGGATGTCTAATGATCCGACTCCCCGTTCCTGCCCGATTCTAACTTACCCGTTCGTCGGGTGTTTCCAACCTTAGCTTAGCAGGAGCTACTTTCGGCAAGCATTGAAAACTTCAAATGTTGTACCAGTGCGTAGTTGTACAACTTCTGAGTACCTTACAGCTACTAGTACAGTGGTCCTTGTCAGTATACGCCTATCCGCCGTAGTGCTTGTGCAAATAACCTCGTACTGTCAGTAGGTGTTAGCACTGGCACTTCTCCCTGTTGTTGGCCACTAGTAGTACGAGAAGCAAGTGCTCACCCTCACACTGAATCGCGACGTTGATACTTGAATGCTCTGTATTCGTTACGCTTTCGTTCGTCCGCGATACGTGTCCTCCGGAGTCGCCTTCGCACGACACGGTCTCGCTTCCTTCTACAGGACCGCAATCTTTTGACGCTCGTGAATGCCTACAGCTTCCCTTCGGCTCCTGAGAGCTGCGTCCCTATTTCGGGTCCGGACAAGGGCAAGCGAAGCCCATACTTATGCGAGGCGAATCAGGCTCATGTGCGTAATCCCTTTCGGCCAACTATTGATGAGCCCTTTATTGCCGTAGCCGTTCTTAAGAATGACTAGTCATCTTACTTACCAGTACTTTATACTCGGTCGCACCAGGATGAAAGAAGCACTTTCTGTTTCGTCTACGAACGTAGACGTTCAAGCTCGGGCTTTTTGTGCCTCAGTCTTCTCCCAGCGATTTCCCACTTTTTGTTTTTTTCACTGTTTCACTACCACCAAACTACCACTTTATCCATTTTTCAACTGTAATTTCTCACTCACTCGCCATTTCATCTCCACTCCCACTCTTTGTTTCTACAACTGCAGAGACAACAATCGTTCTCCTCGTGAAGACCTCCAAGACTACTAACTTCTCGCGTGTCTCGGTTGGACCACAACCACCATACTTCTGGTCGTCTGTTCCCTCTTATAGAAATCTCTAAAGAACTTTAAACGAAAGCATTTCAATCGAGGGCAACAGGGCAGTTTGGTTACTTGTTTACAAGAAGATAAACCCGTTATCATCCTGCTTCACGCAAAGATGGACGACATATCAGCACCGCGACTCCACCAGAGCTCTACTCTATTGCATCAAGAAAGTAAGGTCAGTCCAAGTCAGGTGTCATTGCACCAGGGCTTGTCCCCCGCCCAAGAAGTGTGTCTTCCTTCCCATGGTGTGGGCGGTGTGAGTGTTCAGAAAGGTGAAGCCTCTTCCCTCTTCCCATGATTTCCTTCCTATAAATACCAGAGGAGGTCTGAAATAATTTGAGTAAAGATCGACGAGGCAACTACATCCCAGTCTTGTTATACTAAAAATCTTACTGGGTGGTGGGCTTTGTATTTCCATTTGGGGATGGGAAACTTCTGATGTTCTTTTGAAGATTGCTACGGATCAGTCCGCTTTCTCTAAGACGGCGATCTTATGGGAAAAAGACTCCTAATATTAAGAGCAACAAAATTCAGCAAACACTCCCCCTCCGAAACCTCAACCTCCAACACCCGAACCTCCAACGCCCAAACCCTCAACCTCCGACAAAAAAACTCCCAAGCCCCAAACCTCCGAGACACAGACCACAAACCCATGAACTCATGAACTCAGGAGCCCATGAACTCGTGAACCCGCGAACCCCCAAACTCAAGAGCCCAAGAGCTCACGCACTCAGGAACTTGGGGCCTCATAAACTCGTAAACCCGTGAACCCATGCTGGGCTCGTGAACTCATGAACCCACGAGCCCCTCAGCTCATGAGCTAATGATCCAAGAGTTTGAATTTCAGCGAAACTGCTCAAAATCAAAAATTTTGGGATTTGAGATATTCAAATCCAGCGAATTCAATCCCAAAGCGACAAAATAATACGGAAAGCGTCGACATTTGAGAGAAATCCAAATCCAAGAAATTGAATTTCAAAAATAATGCTTAAAATCAAAAATTTTGGGATTTGACAAATAAAAATCCAGCGAATTTAATCCCAAAGGGGCAAAATAATAGAGAAAGCCGCGAAATTTGAGAGATTTCAATCCAGAAAGTTGAATTTCAGAAAAAAGGCTTAAAATCAAAAATTTTGGGACTTGAGACATCCAAATCCAGCGAATTGAATCCCAAAGGGGAAAAATAATGAGGAAAGCTTCGAACTTTGAGGCATTCGATGCCAGGAAATTGAGTTTCAGAGAAAATCCCTAAAATCAAAAAATTTTGGCATTGGAGAAATCCAAATCCAGCAAATTGAATCCCTCCCAAAGCGACGAAATAATGTGAAAAGCTTCGAAATTTGGAGAAATTCAAATCCAAGAAATTGAATTTCGGCGAAACTGTTAAAAAGTAAAAGGCTCGCCTTGCCTGTTCCCTGGGTTACTTCGGGAGGAGGGGAATCCTGGCGCGAGGGGTTGTTATCGGGTGCTCCAAGCTAGTAAAAGTTTGTTTCTTATCGTCGGTGGATGCGAAAGTGAAGGAAATACACAAGAAGTGACATCAAATAACGTGTAAGTTAGAAGTTGTATAATGCTTAGAAAGATGAACATGACAACGTACGTTTAACAACGCACAATCATCACTGTGTCTCCGTAGATAGGCATTCGTCACGATCGCGAAAGCCGAGATCAAAATGACTCTGCTTGACCAGTCTAATTTTTAGAATTCACATCATAATGGACGAGCCTTGAGGCTTTAACTTAAAAACAATACATACCAATACCGCGCGCGCGTTTAAACCAACTACTGAACAAAATTCCCGTGAGCGTATTAAACTCTTTTTTCACTTTCACAGGGGACAGATACAATTACGGGATTCGGAGAGCTCCAGGGCCCCCTTCTAGCATGCTTGGCACGCGAGGAAGCATAACAAAAACCAAGTTCCACACAAACACGCTTGAAAAGTCGCATAAACACACTTTCAAATTTAAGTATTTCTTTACGAAACATTGATAACACGGTTCTAATTAGATGATACATAGAAGCAGGGACAGCTAGCAGGAACAGAAGGAACAAGTGTAGTTTCACAAGAATGATAAACTCTCTAATGTTAATTGCCGCATATTATTATCTATCAAGTATTCGAAGAAATTCAAATCGCAGGAACAAGGTAAAAGAAATTGAAGTTGTGACTCAAGGAATCACTAACGCAAAATAGCGGGTGCTTCTGATACATGGTTGTCATGACCTTCGTATCGAGCGACATTTGGGATTCACCGCTCGTCTCCAGGCCTATACATCGGATCAGGTGGAGCTAATCGAACTACGCCATCAGGCGTGGTCGCTGTTGTTGTCAAGTGTACGAAAAATCCACACCTTCCTAGTAGTAAAACCAATCAATTGTAAATTGATACAGAATCTTGTACTTGTTCCAATTTTGATCAGTGTGAGCATCTGCATCAAAGCACGCTAACATCAAAGGATGCAAATACCTATTCCCGTAGTGACCGCCGCCGTCGCACGTTGTAAATCAGCGCATATTACGCACATCCGCTTGTACTCTTGGAACAAGGCCGCGAGGTCGCCTACTCTCAGGTCTGCCGCAGACTCGAGCTCGCTGAAGCGCATGGGGATTAGAGATGATGGGTCACTTCGTACAACTCCGTCAGAAGAGTACAATACTACTGGGAAGAGCCTCACTGGGAACACATCAAAATGCTACTGAGAAGGCCCAACTAGACGAGTCAGGGGACACTGATACAACTATTAGTTTCGAAGATCTCACATTATGTTAATGAGCTCTATGTGTGTCCATCATAAGTGAATATCCGCTAGGTAAGCTCGATCGACTTGAACTTGGATGTTCAAGCAGCTACTTCTCTCAGGCTCGACGTCCTTTGACGGCGGTCGTGGCAATCCAGCACCTATCTTCGCACGCTGCAGTGATATCACAATTACAAGCTCTTCGAGGGGATTATGGCGGGCGGTATACTAAATAAAAGTATGACCCAAATTTTTTCCAGTAAAGTGGGGGAAGAAGTACAGGAGAAGAAGCAGAAAAGAGAAACTCTCTAGTTAGAGGTAGGTTTTTGGTGCTCGCTTACCCCGCTCTCCCTTAGAACAAGAGGCATAAAAAGCGGTAAGAAAAGCACCTTTAACCTACCCTTAAAGGATAGTACCTCGCGACGTGCGACAGAGACAGGCCAGCACAGTAGAGAATGACACTGTGCGGGAAGGAGAAGGGAAGTAGCTTGGAAAGCATTTGACACACGGCCGATATCGACAAGGCTAATAGCGTGAAGTACAACGGCAAAAAGGCGAAAGATAAAATGTGGATGGTGTCGGTAAGTGAAATGAATCTAGCAGAACTGTTTTCGTGTACCTCGAGCTAGTAGGTTAGATCGATGTCTTGTACATTCCACCCAGTGATCATTTAAGATAAGTAATCATACAGTCTAACAAAATCTAGTATCTTCATCAATACCTCGTCATTATAATGCGCTTCCAGTTGCGCATATCTCTGTCTAAATTCGGCTTCGCTAATGTGTCGTAGCTTGCAGTTGTGGAAGTTTTCCGGTGTTAAATCCTGCACGAACTTGGCTGCACTACAATAGCAATTAGAGCTTATCGATCCTATAATCTAATCCATCTTGTCGAGGTTTTTCATCCTTGTCCCCTCGAAGAGGCTCTCCTCTTCCAGGATAGATGGCTTCTCCGAAGATAGATGGAATGTTAGCGGAAGCGGCCTTAAAGCAAGTGTAGTAATAGTTTTGTTGTCCGACTTTCCGCGATGGTGTTCGATAGGCGTCAATATACTCTATGTTTGACCACAGATTTCCCGGATTTGCTCGCAAGATAGTGTAAATCAGCAATGGCATGAAGTCGTCGGCACCGAAAGCCTAGTGTGTTTGGAAGCAGATAGAAATCGAAAAAGGTGAGTAAATGAAGATTGATGTAGTACAAAACGCCATGAAGATGACACCACTCTTTCGTAAAAGAGTTTCGCTCACTGTGAGTGAAAAAAGTCGTCGGCACCGAACACAGCCTCATATGTTTGGCGGGAAGTAGATGAGTCAGACAGTGATTCTGTGTACCGCATTTACTACAATATCTATGTCAAAAATACCTGTCCTCCACCTGGTGGCTCCACGCTCCCTCGCCTTCGCTGCTCCTCCTGCCATACTTTCTGTATCACCTCCATGATAACACGGCAGCCGGTATCAATGCAGATCAACTTGTTCACGACGAGGTTTAGAGGGTGCAAAAGAAAGAAAAACGGTTCAGGGAAATGAACATTCTTGCAGGAAGTTGTAATCAAGTGGTGTCTCAACATTTCACACGAACTCAAGCTCATCTACAGAACAAGGAACAAAAGGTGGAGTTAACGACCTTAAGGCGATGAAGAAAAAGAATCAAATAAAAGTAAGAACACCTAACACAAGCATTTTTGAAAGCTATAAGTACGATCTCCCATGAGTAGAAGTGCCCTCCTGTTTTCATAAATTATTCACGGTCTCTATTCGGGCAAAGGCAGCTGCTGCGTCGTCTAATAACGCTTCTGGCCTGCCTGAGTTGTCGACTGATGCTGACGGTGATGATGGTGTTGTGCCACCCGGTGTTGACATGCCCCCTCCGACTGAGATTAGACTTGATGCATGAAAGGAACAAGGATTCTGGTGTCACATCCACATTCGGTCTGGTGGTTCGAGAAACATTACTTCTCTAAGTACGCGTGTATGCCGTGTTTGAAGATGATCAAAGCCAACCTTTGTAAGTGTATTTAATACTTATTATTAACTTGGAAGGTTGTTCAGACCATCATATTCTTGGAGAGTAGACCATGATCAAACAAGGAAGATGAAGATGTCTGGTTCTCAAGCATAAATTTCCCGTTCCTTGTCCGTTTGACCATGCTGTGAGACTAGATTCTAGATGCTCCGGCAAGTCTAGATGCTGCAGTTGTATGAACTGTAAGCATTTTATGTGTTTGTATTAGACAGCGCTTCTATTCATCTCGGTCTCCCCATCTTGGTACTCTCCATCTCGGTGCCTCTCCCCTTGTATTGATAATGGGAAAAGGCTCTCTTGGATTGAATGGTGGGAGACTTCTATCCGATTGCCAGGGTCGATACCGCTGAAAGGATCATGCTGGGAGAGATGGATGAAAGCTGAACATAATTGTAGACTTTTCTGTCCTTCTGCCGCACTTCTCTACTCTTCCCGAATGTATACGCGTGTAGTTTCTGCAACACCCACTTTTCGAGAAAGTCGTAATTTATGTTCTCCTCCTCTTCGCTCACGTCTCGGAAGGCCTTCGTTTCCATCAATTGCCGGTGACTTCTGTCCAGCATACTATGGATAACCTCCGCCTTCTCATTCTTAGAACGGTTTTCGAAGAGATCTGTTGAAAAAAAGGTGATGGAAAGAAAATAAGGTACATATACAAAAAATTTCTTTCATTCAGTCAAATAAAATGAGACTAGCTGGACGGCTTCTACTTACTTCTAGTACTAAGTAACTTCAAACTTTGACTTAGAATTAGAAAAGCATCTGAAAAAAATTAAGAAATCTCCAAAATAAAAAAATACTGTTCGTCTCTGCTTGATCGACGAAGTTTTTTAGGTCGTGTGCTACGGGCATGCATTCGGGATCTGAGATTAGCTTCCTCTGCCATGTCCCATATGGCGTGTCCACCCTTCGCTGCGACATGTTGGGGGCCCGCTCTTGGACCATTGGTCGTCAGCGGATGACGTACCAGAAGTTACGCGTAGTAGAGGGTGGAAGAAGAAAGGCACTGGCACCTATCGAATATCGAGTTCGTAGTGTCGCAGTTGTCGTGGATAGAAGTAGTTTGTCCTCGCAGTCGTCGTGGATTGTTACGGTATGAGACGTCTCGAAAGTGTTGTGGTACTCATATGCAGTAGAGACAGTGACACATCACTAGTGACACATCAGTAGAAGCGTAGTCATCGTTGACGCTGTCGTCGTGTGACATATCAGTAGAAGCGTAGTCATCGTTGACGCTGTCGGACGCTTGGTTGTCACCAGAATTGTTAGTTGTAGTTGTGAAACTTCTCTCGGTATACGGCCGCAGTGCCAGTAAAGAGCACCACTGATAGGACGCCTTGTAGAAGTTTCGTGTTAGTCGTCGTCGTAGGAGTGACTTTTGAGTGTAGTATCGATAGTAGAGGAGGTTGTCGCTGATAGTAGTAGTAGTACGGTAGATGTCGGTAATGTAAAGTATATTATACGTGGAGCTTCTACTCGCGGCCTTGAGCTGTTGATGTGTTCAGCTTCCGCAATGCTTTTCTCATACGACACAAAGAGCCGCAAAACGGATGACACTTCTGAAAATGCTGCTGCGGCAAGTACTAGCTTTTCGCCAACGCCATGAATTGCGTCCAACTAAGTAGTTAGCAGTTGTTTCAAATTCAATGTGCGCGTAATAGAAATTTCCACCCGGAAAGCAACCTCCGCTAGTCTTGAGGACCACGCTTCGCGCTGCGATTCTGTCATCTTTTCTTCCAGAAGCGGCGTAGTATACATTTGCGTATCTTGTGTATTCACATCACTCGGCCCCTTACAAATTTTTGTTCAAGATAAGTAAATCTAGTTCCTTCAAAAAACAGAAACGAGCAAAAATTAACCCATAAAGATAAAGCATTTCTTCTATATCTTTTGAAAGAACGATCCAGCACCAGAGGGCACATCGATCAGAAAATATGGCTACCTAAGTGCCACACGGCGGGCATAGTGGAGCTCACATGCCAGATGGCCCTGATTGACAATTTCAAAAATAGGTACCCGCTTCAAATATTAATTTTTCCGTCAATTTGCGGGTATGTGTCAACATAAATTTCCTGAAGGCCTCCAGTTGTTAGAGAGGAAGAAGGCACCACTTTCGCTTGTTCTAATGAGCACGACAAGAAAGTTATTTAGTACGAATATTTATATTATGAGTAAGCACAACACGAAGGAGCGAGTAGAACATGCGCATATATCTTCAAGCACGTTTGAAAAGTAGGTTCGTGTTTCGCACAGAACTACATCTTGAAAAGAATCGTGCTCATCCGAGGGAGCACGGTGGCAATAGCCGTGGTCTCTTCATTGGGTGGACAATCGCGACGCCCAAACATTTCCATTTCATCTTCTAGATCGATGCGCGAAAGCGAAGTAGAACGCCAAAAATCATGTGTACGCAAAGTACAACGCAGAGGATTTTTGTTCTCTTTGCTGTGATTGAATGTCGGTCCTGGGAATTATACCACGTGAAAAATAGTACCATAGATGACTCATTATTTCGGCTTCGTTTGGTTCATCTTCTTCCCTTCTCACGTAGCTTCCAAGTTCAGCATTAATTCACGTCTCGTCACAAATTCGGTTTCTGTGAGTCTCCGTGTTTGATGTACGCGGAATTCGCGCGGGACTGGTATGCGTGCTGTTTTTTCGTCGAGGACGCCACATTCTAGTATTGTTACTTAGAGATGAGTGAAAGCGGGGAAAGAACACTCGAACAAGAAAAAAACGTGAGACGCTGCACAGGAGTGGGAAAGTAGCCTATATCATAACTAATCGGCATGATCGGTGGCTGTTCTTCTGTGAAATTACCCCGCTTCGACCCCATAGAGGCCATGTCCTCTATTACGCGCATTCCCTTCAAAACTGTACCAAACACTACGTGTTCTCCCTGCAAAAGACGTTTGCAACTATTAGATAGTGATAGAGCTAGATAGAGAAAGACACTTCGACATAAATCATCCCTTCTGGTTCTGTGAAAATCAACAAGAGGTATCATTCTTGAGCCTACTCAGTATCGATCCCCTTTACGCCGTTGCTTAGGGGATCTCATCTATAGAAGCAGGGATGGATTAGCCGTCCGCGTTACAAGCCGTAAAACTCCGACTGAGCGAGATCATGAAGACACTTCCCTGCGTGTCATTGCCCCACCTGCACATCGCAAGGTCGCCTTCGTGTGTAAAATGGACGTCGTAACCTTCGTCTGGGAACTGGCGGCCAGAAAGTTAGAAGCTTTTGAGTTAGAAAATTCTTCAAGTGGTAGACTAGTAAATTCTAAATTGATTTTTATAGGGATTACAACCCTGCTTACGCTTGTGATGTTGTACTACCGCCTAGTACTAGATCTAGTGAGTGTGAATAATAGTTTTGAACCTCGAGGAGGACGACGCAGTCATCTTCATTAATCAAATTTACACAGCGTCACCAACACCCTTTTCGTCAGCACAGGCCATAATAAATACTACATCCGTGTGTAGATCCGTCTCCAGCGATCACATCTCCTCCAACGACCACCGCACCAGGATTCACGTGGTGAAAAAGCGTATTTCGGTATCCGATTTTCTTGTCTTTGATCTCGAACCCTTTACAGAGTTGCAAGAAATTCTCGCATGTCATAGGACAATCATGGCCGTAGAGGCCAAATATGATGCGACCAGCATACGAGTTGCCAATTGCAATATCCATAAAAACTTTGTCTGTGACTCTTTGTCGGTAACTACGACCTGCTCGGTAAGTTCCACGTCGATCCCACCAGTAATAAACTGGGATCGAGGCTGAGCCGGCAAGGAAACCTTGTTTCCATCTGGGCCATTGCTTTATCGTGTGGACTAGCGAAGCGATCGTCATATTCTTCACCTAGTCCACACAGTGATCAAGCGTTTTTACGACATTTTTTCTTCTCTTTCGGATTTGAATATGAGATAGTTCTTAGGAAATCACTTCATCTGAACAAATGCTCTACATTTTATCTTCTTCACCGTCCAATTCTAGCATCTCAACATTGGACTTTGGAGATATCAAACCGCATCTGACGTGGCCGATTAAGTTCATGAACAAAGAACAACCCTCCTGCCACTGTTCTTTCATTTCCCTTCACAATTAACAAGTAGATCTTCTTAACAAGTAGACCTTCTTGGAAAGCGGAGGCACCACAGGATTAATCAACCACCTTCTTGTTCATTTTGTATATACCCTGATATGCGTTCGTGAAGCCAACATCCTTCATCTCGCAACAAACATTATCATAGCTCTGACAGTGTCCTTGTACTTTTCGCCCCGCCCCCTTGTAAAGTACCACTCACTTTTTCACCCTTTATCTTGACCCCAGCCTTACCCGCCAGTTCCAGTGCCTCTTCTTTCCTCCAGATAAATAGGGCCAAACTTACACAGTGGATGAAGAGGATGAGATAAAACTGGAACAAGAAAGTCTGTTTCTTTGACTTGTGTCGTAGTAGAGTGATCCCGATTAGCATTGCTGGTGACCCGCCTATCAACGCACACGTCAGCAAAACGCTTTCCGCGACACGTATTGTGAATCTCCGCACATGTTAGAGGAGAACCATCTTGCGTCGTAGTATTAACAGAAAATTATACGTGCTGTTGAGATTATTACTATCTTTGTACTTATACAGGGAGACTCCCTGGTTTTTACATCAATGTCTATCTTCCCAGTGGGCCAGCACTCTTCACAGTTCATAAATGTAAGCCGTTTCCTCAAACAGCAGCTTATCGAGTAGCTTCTGGAGTCGACCCAAAGACTCCTTCGAAGTCGACGTCTTTCTGTTCTTCCCGCAGCACCATCGCCCACATACATACGCAGCAACCTTGTCGAACGCGAACAGCACAAACGTTGCCACGTTCACCAGTATCATTAGAGGTTGCAGCATTACATTCTTCAGAACATCCTTGACCCAGCATTTGCCACTGGCAAAAAGGCCAAGGATGCAAGTGAAGAATGCAACTTAAAAACCCTTAATATCAAGTACTTCACAATTGTCGCCCTTGTGACACCACTAGGAAAGGCCTTAGCAAGCGTGCTCTGCAAGAACTCAGAGACATTCGCGGGTCGCCCTTTGGTTTCTGGCGTAGTAGAAGTAGATGCCATTACTGCAAGTACAGCAATGTGGAGGAACCAAAGCCATATTGTATTCTTCGTACCAACGTCGAGTACCCTCATTTTTCCGTAGAAGACTACACAGCGTGCTGCAGAGTGAAGCTTTCCGTGGAGAGAACAGAGCAACTACTGTTTACAACAGTTTGAGACGACGACGCAAGAGCATTTTTATCGTGTCTCCTGTCGTGCTGATATTGAGTTCTTATATCATATTTTTAAGCAATGGTTTTACATCATATTAAGCATATATACTAGTCAACACCCAACCATGGTGGAGATTCAACCCAAAGGATCTTGTTCTTGCGCAGTGACATCACTCATACACTAGACCTCCAGCATAGTGTGACTGTGCTTCTCTCAACCTTAATGTCAAGTAGAAGTTGCGCACCATCCACTATCGTCACGCGTCGATTCGCTGCTTCATCTCAAGAGCGACAGAGCCACGTAGGAGTTGTAGGAAACAAATGACGTTTGCTCCTCATATTTCAAATCACAATCTCTGTTCGTTTCTGCGCTAAAAAATGAACCTCCACATGGCAAAGTCAGCAACTTCCTTGGAAAATCTTAAATGTTATTTCTGCGTCGTGTCATTCAGATACGAGTTCAAAACAATCATCATTCACGGGGGCGTGAAATGCGGCAAGTCTCAACTTGCCAATGCTTTTACGTAGTCTTTCGCTGGTAACCGCTCTAACACGTAATCCCTATACCACGTCGCTTCTGCCTTGAAATCTTTGGGCAACGGCACCAGATGCGGATGCTTGAAGTGCATCTGGTAGAAGATTAAGATGTTACATGGGACAAGCAACTAGTATCTTTCTGCAAATTGAAGTTTTTACAGCAAGACACGCCAAAATAAAAGTCTACTTGCACATGAATCGAAGTTTTTACAGCAAGACACGCCAACATAAACGTCTACTTGCGCATGATCTTCATAATAGGATGAACCTAGGACTTTTCAAGGCCAGTACTTCGAAGGAGTTAGAATGTAGAGAGGACTTCAGTCAAGTCTCTAAGGTTGCACCTGATCTTTATAATTAAATTCACAACTCAAATTTAAATATACCGCATTCTCCTGCAATGCCATTCCCATGCCGATGCCTAGTCCGACGCCGAGACAGAAACTGCGACTCATTCTACCTCTCGTGAGTACAACCGCTGGTATCAGTGCCGCAGCGAAACCAAGTCCCCCTTTTATCGCGACGTTGAGAGCACATTGCTCGTACCGCTCACATGTTTCTTTGTCCAAGTTCATCTTTTCCTCCCCAACCAGGCTAGGTTCTTAACCAGATCTAGGTTCTAATCAATCCCGATGCAAAAGATCGATAATCAATCCAGATGCAGATCGAAATCGAAAATGAAGTGGTCTAAAGATCGAAATCGAAAATAAAGTGGGATAAAGATCGAAATCGAAAATAAAATGGTATAAAGATCGAAATCGAAAATAAAGTGGTATCATGAATTATGTTGAATATGAGCAGCTTTAATGAGAAAGAAATCGGATGTCGAAGTGGAAGTGGAAAATGGAGATAGTCACTGACACCTTAGTCTTAAACCAGTGCACAGGCGTCACAAGACTGTCGTGTTGCTGATGTTCAATGGTTCCTCCAGTTGACGTTTGATGGTTCCTCCAAAGAACTATATAAGTTTATGATGTCCTCTTGCAGCTGCGTCAAACTCAGTTTTCCCTCTTTTATTTTGTGCTGCTACTTGAAGTACTTAAGTAGTAGATCATTCAATGACATTGATTTCATCTCTCCACTCAACTTTTCCTGCGCTCCCAATTTTCAAAAGACAGCATCTTTCTAGGTACTATGGGCATCAAAAGCGGCCAAGATTTTCATAGATCTCTTTCCCTTGAGACAGTGCGCGTGCGCAGTGCTTCAATCTGTATTTTCTTCGAAGTGCATTCATTCATTCATTCATTCATTTACCTGTTCTGGAGGTATCTTTTGACGCTGATGCATGTGTTCTGTGCAAATACAGCCGGTTCTAAAGAATTCGTCCTGTACGAAAAATCCCATAAAGGTACTAAAAATTATATTCCGTCCAATTATAGTTTCCAGACCATTTAGGTATAGTTCAGAATGACCCCTCTTTCACACCGACTAGCTCTATTTTCCTCTCTGCGTGGTGAAGTGCCCGTTGGCATGATGAAGAGCCGAGAAGATCGCACTAATCAAAAAGGAACCGTGCCCGTCGACGAAACTGACCAACTGCGAACTTGCTGTTCGATAGAGAAACTGCATGCTGTGCGCCTGCATATACAGCCTCAGCTCTGCTGCAAGGTCAGTAGCAAGGGACTGGAAAAAACCGTAGGATTAGAGAAAAGGCGAAGGTAGAAAGAAATAGGAATAACGTACTGAAACTGTCATTACTTTGTGTTAATCACGAACTAAAACTGTTCCTTGTTTATCGTGATTAGCACAAGAACTTCAGGTATTTCCTGGAAGTCAGGCGTGTTCAATCATAATATTCCTCTCCCAGTCGATGATCCCAATGCCTTTGGCTGTTTTGACGATCCGAGTCAGTTGGAGGCCTTCGATGAAGATCTTCGTGCTTCATCTCACTTGACTGTTGACTTGACTGCAGATGAAAATGATCATCTTCCCTCGTCTTACTTGATGAGGACGAATCTTGCAGTTTATCCCCGGGTGTTTTCCTTTTGTGCTTTGGGCGTCTACCAAGTGTAGTCTTTTTAGCCATAATAATAATTTGTGTGGTGGAGCCGACCTAACTAGAAAAAAGACAGACCGTAATAATAATACAAAAGTGCGGCGTCCCCGTTGTCCGTGATTCAATCACATTTGCACGGGGCAGTAGAAAACAGTAGGTGTCAGCACGCAGTGAGTAGGTAGGATAGGATAGGAGTCGCCCGCAGCTTTACCTGCATTGTGGGGCGAACGTCAGTAGCCTCAGAGGGACTACCAATCATCAATTACCACCAACTTTTAGTAACATTTTCTTTTTTTTCCTCCCATTGCCTCATGAAAAAAAGGCCAATACTGATTCATTAGTAATGAGTGATTGAAGATTTCCCTGACGACTTCTACCGGCTATCTACGAGCAATAATTTGTGTGGACTAGACGGCGATGAGTCAAAGACTAAGAGCTACATCTGCACTAGAAAATACATAGATAATCTAAACGAGCACACAGGTTGAGGGAGGAGAGAGGAAGAGGGAGGTCGAAGGAACAGATTAAAGACCGACGCAGAGGAGCGTGGTCAGGGTGTGGGGCTTAAGCTCCACCTGCGCCCCCGCACTCCCGGCTACAGTAATGTAAGCGGCCCAGCAAAAAACTCATAGATAAAAAAGCGCCACCGCCTGGCTAGGATCGGTCCCCGAAGGGCCTCAGGACCGAGTAAACATCACCGAGAGAGTCAAGACACAATCGTAGTAACGATCACTGAACGATATGCCGAGCTAAGCCACGATAGAACACAGACACAAAGACAGATAAACAGTCAATCACTTAGCCAAGAGTTGAATAAACATTACACATTGAAGACTATCTACGAGCAATACATATTCATAATCTTGTAATCGTACCAACTTTATAATAAAGCTTTAATGTCAAGATCAAAGACTGCAGTTCACTAAAACTCGAAATGCTTTCATACCAAATACATCGGGCCCCCCTCTGGAGCGATGACGAGGCTCAAAGTGACAAGGTCTTGTCGAATTCCCCGGCTCTCGGCAAAGACGACGAGCCCATTGGACAGTGTAGTTGTCCTCTCCAACGATTGTAGCTGCGCTTTATCTTCCTCGGAAAGCTTCACGTGGTTGACGCGAATTATGAGGCGGCCGAACTCCGGAGCGTGCGTTTCTCTGTGGCTGTCGTCCATCTGAATGTTCACAGAAGATGCAGACGCAATCTGGACAGAGGCAGCACAAGAAAGTCCTGTGTCGTAGAAAACGTTGTCACCGACAACGCGGTTTTCCCTCTCTTGCATTCCCTGTCGTGTCAGTTCATCCTCCACAAGTTTTAGAAAGTACCGAAGTGGAGCATCTAGGTCGGCGGCTTTGAGGACTTCCGCAACGTCAGCGTGGTCCCGACAAGTATTGATGCCATTGGCTCCATAACACGCCAATTGCGCAGCCAGACCATACGGATGACCACCTTGAACAATAGATGACGTGCCTTGCATTTTTACGTGCTGCCTTCGAAGTCGACGGTTCAGCTTGGACAAACCCCCAATAGGCAGATTCAAAAGGTGCGGATCCTGGCGAAGAAGCTTAAAGAATGCATCCCAACTCGCCTTCATTTCCTTCCTCATCTCGCTCATGGTGGCGCCTGCGTCACCATAGTCAGTGGCCTCTCTCGAGCCGTTCCGCCAAGGTGGGCTCGGGCCTCTCTCAAGTTGCTCCGCCCAGATTGATCGCGACCTCCCTGGAACTAAAGCGTCAAAAATGTTGTGCAAGAAAAACCTCTCTTTTTGGAGAAAAGATGCCACCCCCCACCAGACCGCATCAGGCAGAAGGGAAGAAACGCCATCAACATCAGTCAGCCTCGTTACTAACTGATCCGCAGGAGCCCCCTCCACAGCTGCATGATCACTAGGAAAGAGCTTCGACACGGCTGCACCGTCGGCGGCGGGAGAGCAAGAACCACTTTGAGCCCCTCCGCCTGGCCCGCCGACGTGTCGGCGAGACCGTTTGCCCTGCACCCCTCCCGCGAGGAGAACGGTCCCGAGGACCAAGAGAAAAAGAACAGGCGGCACCGATTGCCAGCACGACATGGTTGTAATTTGGTCGTTTCGGGGCATACTTTGATGAACCGCGGTGTCGAGTAACTGCTTGGTGGGATAGACCTAGGGTATGAGGGAATAATCAACCGGTCGCTATTTTTTCTCTAAATATGCTTTAAGCGGTGTTGAATAATAAATTGTCTTAACGGAGAGGAGAAAGGAAGATCTTCAAATCACGATTAGTAGAACCGAAACTTCCTGAGAAAAGAAAAAACTAAATATTCGTCCTGTAGTAAGTAGACTTAAACTACGCCTGAGTCCGATTATAATTCTGCAGCAAAACGGAAAAGATGAAGCCTCAATCAAGCTAATCACGCGAGGCGGGAGAGTGCGAAACATCAGTATCTCTATTTCTTTTTTATGTGGATCTGCGCATGCTGTGATTTAAGTGGATCACTTTGATTCTTTGGATCTCATGGATCTTTCTTTGCATTTCATGGATCTTTCTTTGGATCTCCGAGTGTCGAGATGCCTTTCCAAATCATCTGCCGAAAGGAACAGCATATTAATGGAAATCTGCCCAAAAATACGGTAAATCATAGGATACGATAGGATAGGATAGGAGTGAGCTCGTCTGCGGGGAGGTGAGCATTCACGACTATGACAACGGCTTCGGATCATCTAAATAAATTTTGGGGAACAAAACTTGTGCGGTGGTCTAGAGCTACCGATATTGTAGTTACGTCAACTGAAGTAAACACACGCCATACTACCTAAACAATGTAGCTAAATTAGCTACCCGAGAGAGTTTCACCATGGTAATATTTGAAGATTAAATTGTCGCAAATTGTCGCTTAGAATTGCACGGGCAGCAGGTTTGAGGTTGGTAATGCATCATGGGACGTCAAGGGTGTAGGACAGACCGAATTATGTTGACTGTCGTCATCAACACTTTATGATAAATAATATGTCGATCGTTTTTCTGACAGAAGAGGCATGCAACTAAAGAAAAACGTAGGTACATCGCAAGCAAGCAAATCACTACTACACTATTTTTTCTATCCATCACATCGAATCCATCATCTGTGCATAAGTACAAGACCTACAACATGACATGTCATTTTCATTTTTTGCTTGCCACCAGCATCTGCCTTGTTACAAATACGAAGTTAGTACTATAATCAAAAAAAACTACGTTGGTTTCATTTTTTCCTTTCCAGTACCAATATGTAAATGTCAGAATGCATCATTCCTTTTTGAGCGTTGTTTGCAATACGACCATACTTCTCATATCTTCTTTCTCGGTCGTCTTTCATAGCATAAATTACTTGCCATCCGTCAAGCAACAGCTCTGCGAGAAACTCCCTTTCCGGTCCAGCCTTTCGTCTTGTATGGGAGAGAACTAATATGGTTCCAGGAGTGCTTTCCGTATCCGCAGAGGACGTGGCTGCTGGTCGTGAAAAATGCAAAAGCGACCTCCTCAAATCTTTATGAACGGGGCGTGGCACGTAGGCAACATCGGCAGCTAGGATCATGTCGAACTTGTCGTGTTCATCTTGGTGCATTTCTTGTAGATTTTGGGAGCATCCGTCGCGAGTCGTTTGCTGAAAGCTGAATATCTTTTCCGAAAAAACTGTTGTGCTCTTAACGTTTTCTCTACCTGCGCGTATTGGCGTTGTGTCCCGCGTACTGCACACACTGGATGATGGCGAGAGCGTGGCATCACGTGTGCTGCAGACACTGGAAGTTGGTGACAGAAGAGTCCTCTCATCGTCGTCGACATCACCAACACCATATTCTTCATCTCTACCAAGAAGAGGACCATTCGAGAAATCGCCAAAAGCATGATAGCATAAGTCGATATCATGGTCATTATGGTCTTTCCACACGCTTGCATTCTGAAAATCCTTGGCATTCGACAAACTTGTTTTCCCGATGAAAAGACAGTCTCGAATCTGATTCCTCTCCACATTTTTTCTAGCGAATTCCAGTACCCGTGGCTCAAAATCTGTTGCAACGACTCGCTTTGACCCCAGCTCACGCTTAGCCACCAAACTAGGCAACGGACACGCGCCACAACCCAGTTCTAACACGCTTTTATTCCGACTTGCTTGTTGAAGGAGCGAAGACAAGTATCCTGGTACAACTAGGTCGTTCGAGACCACCTTCGCTCTACTTCCTGCTTCCTCTGCATCGTGGCGTATCTTTATTTCTTCACCCCCCACTTGTATTTCATGCAGAAACACAGCTAGGGCGTGACCTGCATCCCAAAAAGCGAATCCTACAGGGACACGGGCTACATCCTCACAGCTAAAAAGTTCGATGGCAGCATTGAAATCGGCATCCTCGGTGTCTTCATAAGCATCCCAAAGCATGGCTTCTCGCGCACTAGCATCCGCTTCTTGAGATTTGTTCCTGTTCGTAGTTGGTGCTGTCACTTCTAAAAGAACACTCGCTGACACGGCCAAAGCCCTAGGATCCACTTTGGACAGGCAGGCCATAGTACTCCTTGGTACCTCCAGTTCATAACCCATACCATGCGCCGAGAGAACTATAGTGTCGGCAATCGCATCAGCATACTCCGACTCCTGTATGGTAGGATTCGTTCTTGTGGAAGTGGAAGCTTTCGACTCCTCTAGACTGGAAGGCTGTTCTTGATCACTTTTACTTTGATGTGTGGTCGCAGACGCCACAGGAATCGTTGCTCCACTACCACAACCAAACAGCTCCGAGAGCTCACAGCTGCTTAGCTCCCCGAAAGTACCTCGATGGTACCCAGTCATTTTGACCAAATCCACTTTTTTATCTGGGTTAAAAACTCAACGTTAATACTGTTACTGAATTACTTCTTTTTACCCACGTTTGAATCATGACTTAGTATTGTGTCCGACTCATTGAAAGAACTACAAGTCGCAGTTGAGTTTCTAATGAAAAAAACCTTAGCCCTGCTAAGGGAACCAATCTAACAAGTTGTACCAAGCACTACAATAAACTTCTCCTGCTGACAACTTAATCGTGATTTGATGGATGAAGCAGACTCGTCTAGCTTCGAGACGAAAGAAGCACTCAACGTGGATCTCGAGCTCTCGTTTGACGAGCTCGCGTTTGACGATATTAAATAGGTTAGGTTAGGTTGGGATCTACCATCCGATGTGGCAGATTACATTAAAAATAGAGACAAGAGTAGAACTTTTCGGTTTTCTGATCTTTTGTTGGCCTTTGAGACAGAAGACTGGATCTTTCTCCAAGTACGCCTGGAGGTTGCATTTATGGATGCCTTTATTAAACTATCTTCTGGGCGTTTTCCCAGGGCCGCTTTTGCTCTTGCTCAAGTGTGCTTTTAAGAAAGTTTCTAGCATTGGGAAAGAAGCTCATCTTTAACGATGTGATGGGTCTTTACAAGTGTTGCAATATTAGCATTGGAGCCCAATACTATCATTTGACTGTTTATTCATGTAGTCGTGTCGTGGTGGAAGTGTTAAGCTTACGTTAAATGGTGGTCACTAGTTGTAACGTGCAATAGCAGTAGCTGTGCAAGATGAGTCTTCTTCCATTAGAGAGACTGACACACCTGAATTTCTAGGTTAATGCAGACAACAGCTATTCTTTCTGATGAAAGCTGGTACAATCGAAACAAACTTGACGTGCTTGCGGGCACCAGTGGGGACATGGGGTATGGTAGGGTCGAGTTTGGGGAATTACTAATGTTAATCTAGTTGGTAGGAAGTGTAGGGGATTCTTTGGTGAAAATATGAATCAAGTACATTTTTGTGTAGATGGAAGAGGGTGTGAAAGTGTGTAGGGCCTCTCACATGATGCACCGATTCGGCATGAAATTTTCAGATGTAAAAACTGAGACGGAAAGCGAAAGAACTATGCAAAATCACTTCAATTTCTATGATGCTAGTAAGGAACATGACGGAAAGGGTAATTCTTCGTTCTCTTATTCATCATCTTCTTCGTCAATGCGTTTCTTTTTTTTTTCTTTTTTCACCTTCTCCCCTGCCGCGGCCGCTCCTGATTCATTATTTGTGAGGAAAGTTGATTGATCATGGTGTAGACCGGTAGTGTTTCATTCTGAAATGAACGACTTGAAGAGGCGTGAGAACCAAGTTCTTGACGATTCAATCAAATATCCGAAAAAAATTTTAAAAAAAGTAATCACGACAACCACCTAAACCTAGTCTTCACGCCACCTCCAACTACATTAACTAGACATCTTCAATTATACCTTTCTCTTTCTTCTCTTTTTTCTTTTTGAGTTTTTTCTCATCGCCGTCGTCTTCCTCAGCACTCTCCATAGACCCTTGCCTCGCAAATTGCATTAGTTCTGCACTCCCGCTATCAGTCTCCGACTTCGAATTTTTTCGACCTGGAGGGATGATGATCGTCCTACAGTAAGCTGATCAAACTCTTGTTATTTCAGTACTCAGTTCCATCAGCAAGTCAATTATTTCAGTACCTAGTTCCATGAGCAAGTCAAGTAATTGTAACTCACAAGTACTCATTCCCGGAACGCTTCCCGCTTCTACGACTGGTTCTACATCCTCCTGCTCGATATTTATTGCAATATCGTCATTGGAGAGCGGCATGTCTGGTGGAAGCTCGTGGCCCGACTCATACTTCGCTAAGAGGCCTACTACCTTTGATTTGAGGGGGAAGACTTTCGACTCCGCTACAACTACTTGTTCGTTCAAATACATTGATTACATCCCTTTGTGTTCCTTTCCGGAGGAAGTTGTTTCATTTTCTACACAATGCGTATAAAGAACCAAACGTAAATGAGTAGTTGTACCCTAAGATATTCTTTGACGAGTGATTTTATGAGGACTTTGGAAGCCGTATGTGACTCAGGATTGGAGAGCCAGCTGTCGAGATCAACGCCCTCTTGCTTCGCTACTGTCTCAAGGTCGTCCCGTTTTCTTGGTCCTTCTCTTGAACTCTGCAGTTCGAAAAACGACATTATCCCTAGTGCGAACCTGGATCCGTTGGATTGATCAGCATGTTCTTGAGAAAAATGTTCTTTTAGTACGATCTTCATCGGCAAAAATACGCTAACACAGCACGAAGCGTTGGGTAAATATACGCAAGCACAGCACTAAGCGTTTCCTCCTTGGGTAAGGTAACTAAGGGAATGTACGCTAGCACAGCACTGAGCGTTTCTTCCACCACAGCGCATGTTATACACGTTATCGCCGAAAAACAGCAGACTGCGAGAAAACCTAGCCTCCTTCCGTTCCATTCAGAAACGACCTTTGCGGGTAGGTCCGCGGACGCATGTGCGCCTATGGCGACTGACATCGGGATGGTGAGTGACTCCTTTGAAAGGAGGCAACAAGCTTGTTGGAGGAGTTGTGACAGGGATGATTTGCGCTCTTTTTCTTGTTTGGATGTTAGGCAATAGTGAGATTGAGTGGCAGGTATGCGCTGGCAAATTTTGGGATCGCGGGTAAACCTGGCAGCATTTCACTTCCTTTTTCTTCAGTTTTTCAACTACGTGTTTTTTTCTCGGTAGAAATAATGATAAGAAGCTGGCTTTTCCCTTTTCGTAAGCTGTCTTCCCTCTGACCGACTTTGCTCGAAGCTCCTAATTGTCTTTCTCGGCATGCTCATAGGCGTTGTGATTGTCGAACACGATACCAGGAGACTCACACTCCTGGAAGTAGAACTACCCACGTTGTCATGGTCTTCATGGTCATTTTCTATACAGTGAATGCTTCAAGGGCGACTCAACAACAGATCATTTCTGTAAGGAAGTCTTCTCTTGTATGTTGTTGGTGGAGCAGACCTAACTAGAAAAAACAAAAACCGAAAAAAGAAAAATCGGCCAAGTACTTATCTACTACTAACTGAGCGCCGGCGCTGTCGTTGTCCTGTCAGCCCCAGAGGCCTCACCTTCGAAGGCAGGCCGGAGCCCTCTTCTCTTGTATATTTGTTTGCTGACCAACAAAATGCATAAAAAGTCTTGAGGACAAGGTTACTGCAGTATAGGAGTTGAGGTTGTGCCAAAGGAGTAAGTATTTTGTTGAACAGGGATACTGCATTAAGTTAAATCAGAGCATCCAAGAACAAATATAGTTGTTGTGAGTGCCAGTCATAATATTGTACACGTCGGTTACATCACATTACGAGCTATATTCACCTTTGTGCCTATTGTGCAACTCTATACAACCTCTAAGAATTTGATCTGTGCAATTCTGTACAAGAACTGTTAGTTTCTATCCACCTGTGCCTTTTCTAGGAATTTGCATCTTTTTATGTCTGTGGTTCATTTATGCTACACCATCATGTCTAAATCAATGCGACTACCACATTGCGCACCTGCGTTAGCGTTGTTTTATGTTGTCACGCACTAAGATCGAAGAACCGCATTTTCTACATTTGCCTATCAACACCCAACAACTATCTAACTGTCAAAAAGGGTATTCAACTAGGGTCATCTTCAGAAGATAGAGTAGTTATAATTGCTCTTCAAATCAATTATGCCCGTGTATCGAATCTTCAAAAAATCAAGAGGTGGGTATTAAATAATTCTACATCAAACCAAGTCAATCTATTCGTCTACCCACCCAGGCAGAGAAAACGAAAATGAGGGCGTCAGCATCATGATCAAAAACTAAATGATCATATCTGACCTGGTCGGGATGGAAAGCATTGTGATGGAAGAAGAAGAAGTTTTTGAATCAGCCTGAAGCTTCCTTTCAAGTAGCAGCAACAGCAACATTTGGATTTCTAGAGCTGCCTTCCAATTTCAGGGCTTCTTCAACGTCCATACGGCACAGAGGGCACCCTCGGTTCCCACGTTTAAACCACTCTAATACACACTCTTTGTGAAATGTATGTCCGCCCGTACAGGGGAGTCGAATCACCGTGTCCTCTGGCTCGATGCTGTAAGAATTTGTTATTGGTTCTTCTTGTAGAAGTTTGGGTATTGATATTTTCTCAGATGAAACTGATACTCTTTAACTATATTGCCCGTAGAGTATTAATAATTGAGCACATTTCAAGTATGAGGGAGTTCACAATCTAGTATCATAGATACTGATCATCATTGCTGCATTCTTGACGAACCATATGAGAACCTAACCTGCCTGATTCAGTAACGTTACAGAATGTACAAGAAAAAAGCAGAAGTAAAATACTCATCGCAGCAGACGGCACAGGGCTTGCCTATGATCTCTGTTTCACGGGTCCGTGGGGTCCACAGGTCGGCTACTTTGCCTTGAAGCAGGGTTTTTAACACTTCCGAAGTAAGGGGTCGTGGTCGTTCTCTGCCTGCTAGTTGCCCGTCGAGCCTAATGTCGGTCATCAGAAATTCGGCCACCGCCGATTCTGGATAGCAATAGATCTGTCGTAGTAAAATGGAGAGCAGGGGTTCTAGGACGATGATGGAGAGGGACAACTTTATCATTTATAATGTATCACTCCTCAACGAGTGCTGCGCGTACTACTTACACAACTGCTAACAATATCCTAACAAACTAATTATATTCTCTTGTACCAGAATCTTGACGCAAAACAGAACGCTGTAGGTGACGAGGAAGAGGAAGAGCAAGCTCGTGGTCCATAGATCGAACGGTTCCGTCGCTAGTAAGAACCAGCCTTCTATAAAAAGCAGGTATCCAATGACTTGTAGCGTCCACAAAGCTGAGGCCAATAGCACCACTGCCCACACAGGACCGGCAGACAGCACGTAATGCGCATGATTCACCAAAACCATGAGCATCCATTGTCGTCCCACTTGAAGAAAAAGCCAAGTTACCTCTTGACCGCCCACTACGAAACGCAAAACAAACAGAAACAAAGCAATACTGCCCACTAGTGCGACTAGTGACGCTGGGAAAGGCGTGATCGCATCCAATGTCGCATAGCAAAGGTAGACTAGGCGCATCGGTTCTTGCCAGTAGTCGCTGGCGGTCCAGGGTAAAACTAGAGGTCCGGCAGCTCCGACGACCGATATATCATCTGTAGTGCCGGAACTAGACCTATGTAGACCTGATTCGAGATCGTCGGAAACTATGCCACCACCAGCTGACTCTGGGGATATGCCTCTCTCCAAACCTATTTGTTGTACTGAGACTGGAGGTTGCACTTGCAGCAGATGGTCTCTACTAGAGGAAGTTGTAGTAGTAGAGATGCCAATGCCGTGAAGCTGTTCTCTGCTTCTAGAGATCGGAATAGCTGTTATATCTTCGCCCTGCTGGTTCCCAAAACCAGAATTACCACCTCCTCCAGATCTAGGCGCCAAAAGCGGCCCAATCTGCACCCTTCCACGTGTTATTTGGGTAGCAGCCCCGACTTGACCTGTCCTTTGAATAAACAAAGCGTTATAACTCCCGCCACCACCTGTGCCGCGCAGTGCTAATGCTACGTCACGGGCGCGCCCGGCAACGACCTCACCTCGAGTTTGGTGGACCAGGTCTCCACTACTCGCACTTCCACCCCAAGCATTGTTAGCCCTTGCTGTGAGCACACATTGTTCCTGGGACACTGTGCGACTATTGTTGTTTCGGACAAAATCACGCGAAAATGTCCGACTATTGTTCGAACCACGAATCACATTCACATACAACTCACTTGGACCTGTCCTGCTAGTATCACTCCGAGAAGGCAGAAACGATGACGCTGCGCCTGCCTCATTTGGATTCTCCGACTGCAAAACTGTGGTCTGTTCACCCTGCTCTCCCTGTCGTCTATGATCGTCTCCTTGCCGTCCATCGCCTTGTCTTCTCTCGGCACGTCCAAACAGTGTGGTCTCGCCCTGTCGTCCATCATCTTGTCTTCCATCTTCACTTTGTCGTCCGGCACGTCCGAAGAGTAAAGCTTGTGGAAAAAGTTCGTGGGATCTTGTTCTTTCCTCAGGCGGAACCAAAGCCCTCTGGAGTTCAGCAGGAAACATGAAGCTGTCCATTGCTAACGATGATCCGTGGGTGCGAACATGCACCGTTAACCTAGGAGTAGAAACACCTCTATCTTCATGCTAGGCATCTTGACGGATAGTTAGCTTCACATTTTTTTCTGTATATAAATTTCTGGTGAATTAGTAGTAGTAGTAGTCATGTTGACTTACTCAAAGAAGATTGACTGATGGACTATTGAGTGGCATGTTCATGCAACGCGGCAACTGCTTTAGTGTAGTTGCATTTGCATGTCTATAGCAAGTAAAAATAGTTCTGTTCACTTTTCTGATTGCTAGGCCGCTCTAAAAAAATTTGGAGGATGTGCTTTCAATGCTTGCAAAACTATGACGAAAAGGGTTTGTTCTTTTTTGCGCGTAGCCAATCTTCTCCTGTAAAAAAATCATCTCGTGAGTGCAGCAGGAAAATAAGGGGTCAGAGGAACAAAAGATCATAAAACAAAATCGTTTTGGATCAATCATTCGTCTTCATGGAACCGATGCAACTCGTCTCGTCATACTCGTTACTCAACACAGACAGAGATGGACAATGATTGTAATAGACTCATCTTTATTGTTTTTTTCTCGTTACATACAACAGAGAGAAAAAGTGGAACTCTCGTCACTGTTTTTGGTGAATCTCGCACACGAACACTTTTTTTGAAAAACGCTTTCTCAGACAATGGTGCACTTAAAACACATCTACATCACTGGCACATTTCGCTTAGCGCTCCTATGAAAACTCAAACTTCTCGAAAAAACAGTACAACTTCATGTTAGTACTTCTTCTGTCATGCTGAAGACCCTGTGCACGTCTGTGCAACCTGTCCTGCTTCCAAATCAAAACAGGCACCTTCTTCTTTTCAGTGATCTTAGAAGTGTACATAGTCTTTGCATATAAGTAAATGCCAGCTCCTCCTGTTCATCCCATTCATCTACAACAAATCATCATCCTTTGGATAATCTGCACCTCCTGCTGTTCATCCGATTTTACAATCATCGTCTCTGTAGGTTCCTTCTAGTGGCAAAAACCCGCTATATTTCACAGCCGCCTTGTCCGCTGTGGATCGCGGTTGATAGGTCATACTGTAGGACGGCCCATACGATACGTTGCCAGCTTGCAATGGTGGGTTCGCTACCTGAGAAGGATGAACTATCAAGTATAACTAAGTGTAGCCACGGTTCTTGTCCGCTGCCACGGCTTGTTGCCACATGCAATTTCAAAAGCTCCAAGTGCGAATTGCTTTCACGCACACCAGTGGACTAATGTTCTAGAAAAACCTTGTCTAGTCTCAATACTTGCTGTGAAAGAAATAACCAAAGGAGACAAAAGACTACGTTCACGAAGCTCGGTCTTGCGGCGCCAGCAATCCATTGTTGAGAACTTGCGTTTGTGGCTCCTGAAGGCCTAACTGGCGCTCCGACAGCAGTGGACGAAGCAGGTGGCATCCTGTGGTTATGAGAAACGTGATGAAGGTGTTCCGTGTGTAGAAAGGATTCTCAAGGAAATAAATGCAGAGATCTTGAGAGAAAGCAAAGTAGATCATACCAAAGTCACTGTCAACGCTAGGGCTAGCACAGAGAGTATAAGACAAACTTGAAAAGAAAAGTATTTGCACGCTGCACCCCCTGCAAGACTCCGGTTCGTAGCAAATGGGTTTTGTGCTGTGCCCTGAGGGGCTGACATGTTCCTTTCAACACAACTGACGTGAATCTAATGTGCAAATATAGGTAAGTACGTTTCACTACTTTCAAGTAGCCACAGGAGCCTCCACGCTCCTCCTCCCTATCTAATTACGATGCGCATTCAGTGCCGAGGTATAAAACATGAAGTAATAAAATATATTGTCTGAATCCATGATAGGCACTGAACGTAAAAGAGACAGGGAGCGGGACAACTAAGGAAACTCAAATTTTTGAATACGCTACGAGGATCGAAGAAGATGGGGCGCTGTAAAACAACCTGTAAATAGCAATCCGGAAGTTCTGCCAACAACTGTTGCCTAGTGCCAGTATGCCTTACCAATTCTGTATTCCTTTTCCCTCAGCGTGAGCATTTTTGGGCATCGTTACATTTGGAGTATCTCTCAAATCAAGCGCTCCCGTTACATGACAACTTCTCCTTAATAAACGTAGTCTCTCAATGGATCTCATCTCTCGTTTGACAGCACACGAATGGCAGTGATGATTGAAACGTAGCAACCTTGAATGTGGGGAAGTTGTGCCTTGAATGGATGGAAGTCGTATCAAGAAGCATCTTCCTGTAGTTAACAAGACCATATTTACATGTCGAAAATCACAATGTCACCTCGCTTCCGTGTCTTCAGTGAGCATTTGCCCTGTTTTCTCCAGCGTCATGAATGAAAATCCTCACGACAGTAAGGAGACGCACCCAAAAAAAAGCAATGATCTTGATCTAGTATCATCTCAATCTTTCATCTAGATGGGAGATGCAATGAATCCATGATGATGATCTATTTCTAGTATCGCATCATGGATTTTTGTCTAAAATTGTCCCACTTGCGGTAGTCCGGCACCTCTTCTTGATCGTCCTCGCCAGCAAGATAGAAGGAAGTCCTCTTCAGTCGACGAATTTCAGCAAGCTCACCTGGTTTTGGAAAGTAGAAATTTTTGATATTTCACTCGAACCTCACCTGAAAATACTATGAGATTCATTGATGATGTTGAAAAGTATAGCACTTCATCTTGAGTAAATAAAAAGCAACAAAAAAACAGTCTTCTTTCACTACTCAAAGAATTAGTTCTTAACAGTAGTTCTAAAAAACAAAAGAGAATTCGAAAAGACAAAAATGTTATCTCATTTCTATAGAATAAAACACCAGTTACTCATCATTTCTCTTTAGTAGTAAGGATACCCGTCCTTTGTATCTGCGCATTGTCATTTCGATATGAATACCAGTTCGTTGTAGCCGTGCAAGTTACACTTTTATATGATACCAGTTCGTTGTAGCCGTGCAAGTTACACTTTTATATGATACCAGTTCGTTGTAGCCGTGCAAGTTACACTTTTATAAGATACCAGTTCGTTGTAGCTGTGCAAGTTACACTTTTATATGATACCAGTTCGTTGTAGCCGTGCAAGTTACACTTTTACAAGATACCAGTTCGTTGTAGCCGTGCAAAAGTTGCTTTGTACACAGGTGTAGTCCACGCATTGTAATAGTCGGCACCTCCGAAGGGTTGGTGAATAAACCAAAAACCTGCACCGTTAGAGCAGGTTTCGGGATTAACTAGATTCCTCAGAACATCCCACCCGGCTTCTTTTCTGATGATGTTAGTCGATTCGGATTGGACATACTTTCGAGCAGGAAAAAAACCAGGAACGGCTGAGTACTTGGGAATGTAATCAATTTAATGGAAATGACCCTTAACAGCGACGAGAAGGCCAGCATGCGCACAACTGGTTCTCAGAAACAGCCACTGATTGGTAGTGTTGAGATTTGGGATGATAGATCCAGGAGTATGAAGCCTGGGTATATAGCACTGCAAAAGATAAAATGATCTAATATCAAATGGACAGGAGAAGTATTATACAAGAACAGTTCATTCCCTCTCTGAACCTGAAGATGCCCTATCTCTTATAATATATAAATTATATATTAAGTACCCTCTCTTATACTCTAAATACCCTATCGGCCCACGTGTAACGAGAACAAAAGTAGTATCATAAGTACCCTATCGGCCCACGTTTCACGAGAACAAAAGTAGTATCATAAGTACCCTATCGGCCCACGTAACACGAGGAGAAAGTGCCCAGAGCAAGTGGGTAGGAACGATACAAATCCTCTTTCCTGCGTTCCCACTTTCAAGAGCTAAGCGTGGCGCTGGTGTCCGCCACGCACGAAGCGCTGCACCGACCCAAATGATTAGAAGATGAAGAAAAGCGGAGTAGACGTAGAGGATCATGCAAAAACTGTAAGAGTAGATAGCTACGAGGAGTCGTGATATATAGTTATGGAGGCGATCAAAATTAAGTAAACATGTAAGATGGAGTATGATAGAAGCAAGAAGGAGTAAGATGGAGTATGGTAGAAGCAAGAAGGAGTAAGATAGAGTACGATAGAAGCAAGAAGGAAGCTGATAGGAGACCGGTGCGATTATAGGTGGTTATGAAAATATTCATCACCTCCACTCTTAACATTTCCTTTGCACCCTCCTCGTGGCTAGTACACAGCAGCGATACACTCGGGGTTCCGGCTTCTATTCGTAAAAATAGAAAACTTCATAAACAACTACTTATGTATAATCAAATATCAGTTCGTTGTTCAGATAAGCGTTTGATTTGATTTGATCGAAAAACGAAGCCGCAAAAGTTGGTGTTGGTGTTGGATGGATTTGATCAATAAGAGTTCAAAAAAAAAAGTTGATTGCTCACCAAACAGGAAGAGTTCTTTACTTGCAAAAGTAGACGGCTCACTCTCTCCCAGGTATGTCTCGACGCTCTCCTAGGCTTCCTTTCCTGTGCGGGCATCACATTCCCATTTGGAAAGTGCGGAGAATCTTGACATCGTTTCTTCATAACCGACTTTTACAATCAGGTAAACGTTTTCTTAGTTGTCAATAACGACTTTTATTTTCAGGTAAATATAGTTTTCGAAGTCAATAAAGCCAACAAAAGCAAAGGCAATGGTTTCTTTGTAAATGTTCGTTTCTTAATCAAAACAGTTTGATGACAGCGGGAGCTGCCTTGTCAGTGTCAGGGTCTGCTTCGTCTGCGGTTCTTTGTAAATTAATCTTGAAGAGCTGTGAATCTCACTTACTCCAAAAAAGTCAGGTCAATCAAAACTCTCGTGTCATGTGTGTGCCCCTGCTATGGTCATGCGCGACCACCGTTTTTTTTTTTTGAGTAGAGACAACATGGCAGCCGACTTCGAGGTCGACTCCCATACTAGCCCGAATGGGAAATGCTGATCCCTTCTAACTACCAGCTAGTTAATCAAAACTGTTTTTAAAACTATTGACTGCTTAAGTGCAAGATGTGCGGGCTCGAAACTGCTGGCGAGACGAAAAGAAGGTCATGAAGAAGATAGAACCATATTGAGTAAAGACTAGTAGTACGACTATATTCATGTTGAGACTCATTTAGGCTAATTTGTTCATTTAAAAAGACTTAGAGGCACTAATCTAATAATAACTAAGCGCCGGCGCTGTCGTGGTCCTGTCAGCCCCAGAGGTCTCACCTTCGAAGGCAGGCCGGAGCCCTGTGCAACGCCTCCGGTGAGTGCTCAGCTCTCTGGTTGATGTGTGCGCAGGTTTATTTGCACAGGGGTACCAGTTCACCAAATAAACCCACTAGTGCGACTATATTCATGTTGAGACCACCTATACAATCTGTCAATGTCATTGCGACGTCTATGCAAATTCAAAATCAATATGTTGTTTCAATCGAAGACCAATCATTGCAATCAAGATGCTCAAACTGGAGTCGCCTCAAACTGGAGTCGCGGAAGAAAATACTCCCAGATTACAGCCCTCAAGAATACCTGTAAATCGGGGTGGAGATCATGGAAAAAAATTCATTCTAATGTTCGTGCGATAACGCGGTCAGAGCCGCACTAGAAAATAGCATGCTAAGGTTTTAACACTCTCTTTTGCACAGACATGGATTAGACATTATTTGGGGGGTTCATTTTTTCAAAAAAATGGAGGAAGTGAAAACTTTCCTAAACAGATGATAATGTTTGCGTTTATAATATAAGCGTTGTGAGTTGTATTATCTGTCGTGAAGTATAATAGCACTTCGAATACAATAAATGACGATGTAGAGTCGAAAATAAAATCGGTTCAAGGCTGCTTTATTCTCGAGCATGGATGGTAGTTCTATTTATCAGTTGTCATGTTCTAACGGCAATGCAGTAGTAAGTGAGGAAGAGAATTCATTTTCGATTGGATTACAATGCTGGTAAACTTCCATCCTATGTAGTCTAATGTAGTTAAATCGAACAGTATGTTCATCTTCTCGATCACATTCTCAGAAGGATCTTCTATCTCATCCTCGAAGAGCTATATGCGTGATGGCTGCAGCCGTGTTGGAAGCAGTACTCGTTTTCGCGTTGAATATAGGAGTCGAAGTCGTGATGGAAAAGCGACAATGAATTGCAAAAAAAACTTATACTTAGCACAAAAAAATGGAAGCCACACGATGAGTCGGTTTTTTTTGAGAGTGCGTTTCGCTTCATTACACACTGTTTCTTGGGCTTGCTGGAGTGCGCGCCGTACCACTCGATAAAAGGGAACCTGTTGTTTCCGGCAAATAGAAAGTAAAAAAGAAACGTAGTTCTTGAAACAGTCAAAAAGAATCAACATCAACATAGATATCTAAACATAACGTACAAGTACATGTTGCGTTGACTGTATACTCGATTTCGATAACGAAATGGTTGTAGTACTTCTCGCAGCAGCACTGATGCGCTGAATCTTCGCTTGGGCTGCAGCCAAACTCGGTCTCTTGGGGATGCCCGGTAAGCCGTCAAGACTGGTCAACATGGGGGACAGGATAGGACTTGGCAATCCAAACCGCGGTGCCCCTGGACTATCCGACATTAATCGTTAGAGAAATGCTTGACAGACGACGAGTCAAAATTTATTACGGTCTAATGAGAACAAACAAAATCATCAAGAAGAGGAACGATGATAATTCGATCATGTCAATTGTGCTACGTACCTTTATGGAAAAAAAACTGCGTGTTGATTAAAGATGACTTGTGAAAACATATCATAAGTTCCATTCGACACTCCAGGGGCAGTCGTTGTTGTGGGCGTACCGAAGAAGCTGCTCACAACTGGTTGCTGGACTGACAGCCTCGAAGCAGAGGATGTTTTTGACATGTACGCCGGGCTCGGGGCACCCTGCATCGGAGAAGCAAAGACCGGAGACGACTTTGGATCGCCCGCGAGTTGGGAATTAGAGAAGAAGAGCGGACTCTATGTGTGCCTTTACAATATTCCTGAAATTCTTAATTTCCACTAGGATTTCTTCCACTCACTCTACATTTACAACTTACAAAATTTACTTCTTCTTATTCTTCTTCTTGTTAATCTTCATAAGATAAGTAGCACTTTCCCCTTGCTCCGCGTTTAGAACGGTGAGCGTACTCGATGCGACGCTGCTTTTACTAGTAGTGGTTTTGGAAGGGATGGCCACACTGGAACCTGGCGAGCCCATGACAACTCCCTGACCATGCTGACCGCTGTTCCCTAACGACGGTGGGTTCTCAAACGTGACACGCGGTGCAGGTTGAAAGGCAATTTAGAGGTAGAACGGCTTTGCTTTTCCATCCATAGTGAAATTGTGATGATGGTGATAATGTCGGTGGCTATCATATACTAGCGTGTGTCACGATAATTCCGTTGACTTTATGTTGTTTCAAAACGGAAAATAAATGTCCATTATCAAACCAACGTCAAATTTCCAATTCGAATTCTTGTTTCCACCATAAGAATTAGTCCCTCCTGTCCCTTGTTTCAAAGCCCCATTCACCACTGGTTGTACTACTGCAGGTTGAAGGTGACGAGGTGGCGGAATAGAAGATCCGTGCGGTTGTTGAGGATCCGAGCCGGATACTTGGATGTACTTGCGACTCGCACGAAGAGCAGCAGAGACCGGCGATCCCACGGATTCCTCAGGCGAAGCAGGTGGAATTGCCACCACATCACTATCCGGACTGCCAGCCGGACGCTCTTCAGTAGCTGGCGCACCGGTTGCAGAACTTGGGATTTTGAAGCGTCCTGCTCTATTGGAAGTGCGTTCTTGTTGTTGTTGTTGTTGCTGTTGGACAACTCCACCACCGCCAGGAATAGCAGGAGTCGGACGACCGGGACCTCCAGAAGCAACGACGTTTTTCTGTTGAGGTTGAAGTGCTCTTGCCGTTGCTGCACCTGGAGTTGGAGAGTTCTGTTGCTTGCTGCGCGTAGAAGAGTGCATTCGCGGACTCAGCTTCAACGGTGAGTCAAGAACCGCACAATTGCCTTCTGCGCGTTGTCTCCCGCTCATCGTGATCAGCGTTCCAGGTGCCGTTGGCGGCTTCTGTTTACTAGCACGTGCGCTGCTAGTGGCACTCGTGGAAACGTTGCTGCTCTGCGGAGCGCTGCCACGGGCACTGTGCGGCTGCCGCGGTTCATACAAGCGACTTTTGACACTGGCGTACAACTTTTTACTGCCAGGGCTCATCATCATCAAGGGTGTGTTTGAAGTGGCGCGTTGTTGTTGTAGGTTTTTTCCACCACCTGTTGTGGCAGGATTCATGATGCTAGCAGTGGATGAGCTGCCGTTCTTCTGGTTCTTCTCCAGTCCCCTCGCACTTTGCGGGACAACGACAGGATCTGGAGACGCACGTCGGAGACCAGCACTTCTGCCTGGAGTGCCGCGTGCGCTAGCAGGGGTCGCGCCTCGAGCACTGTGCGGTACACCTGGAGGGCCTCGTGCACTGTTCGGAAGACCGCGTGCACTGAAGCTGCGGTGCGACTCGGCCGGCGAGCGGCCTGGCGGAGGTCGCGCGCCACGTGCACTGGGCCTCAAGGCCGCATTCGGAGTGGGGCTGTCCAACGTCGCGACTGCAGGTAGACGCGGAACGACCTGCGCAGGGACGCGATTTAGAGATCGTCATTTCTCGCACTCACTAGGTGGAGTACAGTACTGCAAGAGAATCTTTCTTTCACTTCTACTTGCTTGGAACGGAGACGACAAAAAACCGAAAGGAAAACCTCTAGCCATAAATGATGCTGATTCGCTCTGCTCACAACAGTCACCTCCGCCTTGGCATCTGCTGACCCGCGACGACTCGTCGGCCGACTTCCTGGAGGCGTGCGGCTGACACTGTTCAGAGCCCGGATCATCTGGCGAGAACCTGAATTTGCGCCATTCTTGTGCAAAATCTGAGCGCGTTGTGATGCTTGCTCAGCTGCAGTATCACCTAGTGCAGATACCATCGAGCCACGTCCATCTACGGCATCCACGTAGTTATTGGTTGTAGCACTATCACGACCGACAGCAGAACCACCGGACACGGCTTCTTCTTCCTCCTCATCCTCGATATTAACATTAGAGGAGCTATCTTTCAAAAGATGAAGTCATTCATTTTAGATAGAGGTCCATCTCTACTTTGGTGACCTGTATTTGTTCAAATTACTGAACATCCCAGCACTAAAATAAACCAAACTACGTCTACGTATAAGCAATAATATGGGTGGAGCCAAGCTAACTAGGAAAAGAAAAAGGAAGGATAGTATAAGCAATAATGAAATTGTTCTTAACAATGCGTTCACTCGTCTCGCGGAGGGCCGCCATGTCGTCATGAACGGACTGGTACATTCGTTGTTCCGAAGACGACGAACCGGATTGTTCTTCCCCAGTACTGTCCTCAGGCGTGTCCTTGCTGACACCACGTGAGGACAGAGGATCCTCAAATCTCTCCCAGATAGGCGTCCATTTCTCAAATTGGGGACCCGTGCGAGCGGAATCTTTCACATCAGGACGGAAACTACCTGGAAACGAGTGAACAAGTGGAATTCTTCTTATTCTAGAAGTACGTGTACATGAAATTGATTTGTGGCTCGATCTTGATGGGTGATACTAGAGACTTCACGAGAACAAATACTTAGAAAGTTCTGTACATTTCGCAAACTCCGACTGTGCTAATTTCTCCTTTGATCGCTTGTAGCGGTCCGCATAGCTGTAGAGACGAAGAAACAGATCCTTGCTTAGAGTACATTCCTCAGAACATCTTCCTCCCCTTCTTGTTTTCTTCTGGAAACATGATAGAAGATAGCTTCACTACTTCTAATCCTGTACATGAAGTGGGAGTGGGAGTACAACAAGGATGGTTTAGTACTTGCACTGCTTGAATGAGTGGGAGTACAACAAGGATGGTTTAGTAGTAGTACAACTGGGGAATGTAATTATTTTGCGGAAAGCAACGACCCTTAACTTGCTGTGTGTGCGCTTTCTTGGTGACAGATCTGCTTGTTGCGAGTGCAAAATCTTCGGATGAAAATCCGGCTTCACTTTCTCCTCCTGTTCCCGGATCATGGACTCCAGCTTCTCCTTTCGGGCACTTGCTTCACGATGGAGACGCGAAAACGCAGGTCCACGCATCTCACTGTACTTGCTCACAGACCGAGCACTGACTTCGGGAGACGTCCCCTGCGGACCGCCACGGATCGCGCGAGGATCGTCTTGTGGACTTGGTTGGGTATGAAGATAGGAAAAGTGGGAGAGTACGTGGGGATGAATTATGTGAATCAGCAAGTACAACTTATCAGAAGTATAGTACTCCACTAAACTTGCTAACTACTTCTGCATTCCACGACGAGAACTACAACCACATTCTCATTCGAGGAAGATTACTAAAAGTCTAAAGCTTCCATAATCTTCACCCCGATTGTACACGACCAGTTTTGGAGGAAGGTCAGAACGCTTGCTTGTTCTCGTACTCGGTCGTGTGGTACGCTCAGGTCTGGTATCACGGTGTGGTGCGCGCCCACGAGCAACAAGACGCGGTTGAAATGAACAGTGCTTGCGAAGCATCTCACCCTCAGCCATAACGCCGATCTCGGAATAGACACGACGACGCTCTAGGAAAGAGGGGTGGTGATGGAGAAGTCAGGAAGAGATGCTTGAAAGTTTCATGGTCCTCTAGAAAGAGAGTTTTGTTGATGAGTCGTGAGAGTCTACTTCAGGATATGCTGTACTAGCGACATAAATCTCAATAGAAGTACCTCTCTGTCGTTCTCCATCATCGAACAGGCGCTCGTAGACTTGACGGACATTTTCTTCTGTTTTTTCGATTCTTTTCGATGTCTCTTCGTTTTCTTCATGAAGGCGTCGCGTGTCATCGAGACTTGCGACACTGCTCTCCAACAACGTCGCGAGATGGTCTGCGGCAGAACCGCCATCGCGCATTAAAATCTGTAACTGCTCTCGACTCACCATCTTAGTTGCCGTCGTCGTTGGGTTGTTGTAGTGGAAGTTGTAGTCGTAATTTTCGCTCGTTTTAGCATAAAAGTCGAATTACTAGGTGGTCTTGATGATGATCCGTGGAAAGGTGTAGTATTTGGTGTACCAAAACGTCTTGTAGTTTTGTTCTTGCCAAGGGTGTAGGTTGATCGCAGTTGATGACGTGGCTTTTGTAGCAGGGGTGTAGGCCGATTGCGTTTTGTAGTGGTCGAATAGCTTGACGTCGTTTTGAGTTCGTGACAAGGGTGTACTTAATCCTGACCAAGGCTGATGTCAATGCTGGTACCACACTGCGACGCGACGGGGAAAAATGCCGGTCCACAACGATGCCCAGTGCAGAAAGGAAGAAATTCGTTCCCACCGAAGAACAAAGAGAGGATGTCAATTCTTCTGAAAGATGTTTTTGTAATTAACTCTGGTGCGTATGAGAACGCAAAGTCGTTTTTCTTGCTCTACTTGATGGAAGTTTTGATTGTGATGTTTGCATTGAAGAATGCCAGATTAACGCTTATTTTCCATTCGTCTCTCGTTTGCTCAGTACTGCACACCTAGTTTGCACTCCCTTATGATCTCACTTGTCACATGAATCAACAATTTCCTTTTTGACATCTTCCTCTTTGCTCCTGTTTGTTCCATTCGGTTTTCCTATACGCACAGGCAGAGCATATCATAGTATCACGACAAACTTCTGCCACCTCCACCACACGAAAGAACACTATGGCGAAAACAAGACTTCATTCAGCACACGACGAGCGCTGGATGATGTAATGGTTGATAAATGTCGTCAACATCATACAGCAGAAGCTTCAGTTATAGCCTTCTCCTGAAGCTTAATCACGAAACACTAGTCAGAAAGTCAACATGCAGAATCACTTCTCTGTCTGTACAGGAAACTAGCCTGTGCACTGTTTACTTCCTAAAACAACAGCAGCCCTGTCGTTCTTGTGAGTGACTCCTATTTTTCTATGGCCCTCCGCCTTCCTCACGGTGAGAAAAGACAAAGAGCATCCTAAACACCTCACGGTGCAAGTGCTCGCAGACAAGGTCACGTTCTGTGCCAATGCCAAAGGGATGGGCTTGTACACGGATTTGACGCCACTGCCAAACACCGTTTTCAGTTGTTGTGAGTACCTTCGCGAAGACTTCTGTCATCTCCAGCAAAAGATCCTCTCGATCACTGCTCAGATAGAGATACTTCGAACGTGTTCCTGGTAGGGTGTTGTTGATGTTGTCATCGTTGTAATTGCTTTCGTTTGCTACAACTTCGGGACAGGCTTGTCGAATCCGCTCTACCACGGCAGACACATGGGCACTTTCCGTTTCTGCAAGAGAAGACGATGCACATCCATCGTCTCGTTCTTGTAAAATACCCATTCTCCTAAGCAGAAGCTCTGCAAATTCAGAATCGACTAAGCGCCGACGGAGATGGCGTTTTTTTGCCCATGGGTCTGGAAATTGGATACAGGCAAATTGGATGTCCGTGGTTTCCTGGCCTTCTCCATCGAGTTCAAGTAGTGCATCCCAATGAGCTTCATTCTTACAATTCATCGACCGGAAAACTGGTGGTTGTAAATGACCAAGGTCCTCCTGTTTTTGTTTCTGAACAAGACACGCTCCTGAAGATGCTTCTTCATTTGCTTGCTCCACGAGGTCCGGACGCAACTCTAGGCCTACTAAGGACAAGGAAGTTGGGAAGGTAGTGGGTGAAGCTGAAGAATCAGAAGGTTCAATAGGGCTTTGACCTTCCTGTACAGCCACCAGTGATCGATGTAAATCAAGCAACCAGCGTCCTCGGGCGCAGCCGATGTCCAGTAGAATAGATGTCTTCATCGAACTTTCCCGATTGGAACTCGCAAGAGGCAAAGGCGCTGGTAAATCCCTTATGGACTCTGGATTTTGCATCCTTCGACAACTGGCGGATATCCTAGTACTCTTGTTGGAAGTCTGATTTGCGTCGTTTTTCATCGACGCAGCAACACTAGTCTGAGTTTTCTCCCCAACAGAGGTTGAGGGTGACATCTTCAACGCGCCGGTATGCCGACTACATAGTCCACTGCCTCCCACTAGTGCTGCATTTTTGCACCGCCTTTGTCCGTGAATGACGAAGCGGCACTGGTGTTTAAGCGCAGGAGAGGTTTCCAATTTGGCCCGCAATCGTTCCTTGGTATCCTCTGCATGTAGAAACTTGCACGTTGAACCGAAAGTACACCTACCTTGCTCGAAACGCTTGCAACGCACTGTGCGTGGGGTCTCGACCAATGTATAATTAGAGCCCGCATGATCCGGAGTCCTCACAGCTACTGCGTTCTTACCAGAACAAGCTTCTGAGCAGGCAACAATCCCTTCAGCACTCTCTGATGTGTAGACAATCCCTTCAGCAGCACTTGTGGACGGATGCGGTTGCCGGCAGATCGTAGAAAGATCAAAGCTTTCCTTGATGTCTAGCGCAAAGAAATCGTCTAGTTCGTTCTCTGATCCAGCCTTTACGATCAGCAGTTGTTCACTCGGCAAGTAGCGATAGGCAACTTGCCTATGCAGGTTTCCGTTCTGCACGTGCGCTACACGAGCACGCTCACATGCTTGCCAGGAATGATGCAAGGACCTCTTGCCCAACATAATCTGTGACTGCCTTTGTTCGGACTCGGAGGAAGGGGCTGCACCAGAAGAAGAGGAAGACGTACTAGAACCAGGAGATGGAGCATGCAAGCGCAATTTCCCTGTGGCACTTTGAGCTGCGTAGACGGCTCTCGTGAACAAAAACGGACCTGCGATGTTCAACTGCTTCTTTGTCTTGGTAGTTGATGTGCCCTTGTTGATGTCCGACGTAGCTGGAATGGGCTGTAACGCAGAACGAACGTCAGCGTTCACAGTACTCGCATAAGCCTCTAGAAGCGGATTCCACACTTGCCGAAATCGGTCGATCTGCACTACTAGTTCAGAGAGTCGGTCTTCGAATTGTGCTGCCAACTCTTTAAGAATACCCACGTTTAACACGAAATGCCGACTCCTTGCAGAAGAGCTCGTAAAATTACCATCTTCCGGTTGTCGTTGCTGTTGCCCTTGAGAATAACCGATTTCAAAAACGCCAGTCTCCTTCCAACTTCTAACCGCCACGTCCATTTCGTCGCCTAGTGCGGTGGATAAATCCCCAAGCTTCTTTAGGTCGTTCTGAATCTCGGAGACTGTCGTGTTGGAACTACTGGTGCTAGAACTGGCGCTAGCACGAATTTGTTTCTGAATCTTCTCAGAGATCTCTGATGTATTACAAATATCGTGGTCGGTGGAACTGCTGCTTGGGAGTCCTTTCTTACTCGTCCCAGAGCCATCAGTAGTAGAGACTATGGGAGTACAACTATTGTCGCGGTCGGCTTGACGAGAGTTTGATGAAGCGATGGCCCAATCAAGCACCTGACGAATACAGCCGCGTCGGGACCACAAAGGGGTGCTGTCTCGCATATAGCACAGTTTCTCGGCATGTGCAAAGGCGAAAAACTCGTCTTTTCGACACTCTAAGAGTGGACGATAGAGGCTTAGCGTGAAAGTCGAAGTTGATGGACGAAATCGTATGTCGCTGGTTTTAGGGGTCGTTGGGTCGTGTGATGTCGCTGTCGCATTCAAAGGCTGTGAGGGTGCTCCATGGTTTTCCACAGAAAGATCCAACCATTCCGAAACGCCGTTTATGTGCACAAGAGAGCCTTTCAGGAGTTCTGCGATTCTGTTTTCATCTACGTCATCTTGATGGTGGCCTATCATGACGCTAGCGTTAGCTTCTGCGACATTCATTTTGCGGAAGCATTGTTGATACATGCGGAATCGTATATCCTTCGTGGCTGCCTCATAGCGCTCACGGGACAGTCCCGTCTTCAGCTCGCCGTGGGGACGCTGCAGAGAGACCGTAAAGCAGTACAACGGAAGCCCAAGTCGGTTTTCCGCAAGTGCACCGACCCACGACTCTTCCTCTCGCTGTTCTGCGCGGTTCGCGTGGCGAAGGTGCAACGCACACACGCTTCCAACCAACTCGTCCCGCAGGACCGCTAATAACGCCGCGTGCACAATGGAGTCTACGCCACCTGACAGACTCAGGACAATACCCGCTTCCTTGTTCAACAACACATTCTTCGCGAACGGAGCTCTTCGTAAGGAACTGCGCAGTGCACAAACCAAAGGGTGCTGTTTCAGTCCGCGCACGTCCTCCGCACTCGAAAAACGAGGCGCAAACAAGGCCTCTAACATCGTACGCGTACAACTACGTTCTTCGGTGGGTTGTACACCTACTTGCAAGTCATCATGCTCCAACGTAAGTTCCTCGAGCTCCTTTTTCACGCTCTCAATGCACTTTGGATCGAGAAACCTTAAGGGAGTAAATCTACGCATCAAGGCCTGCGTTTCAGGATTCACTGGTGCTGAGGATCCAATCCGAGGAATGGATGCATTTTCAACTTTGGCCTTCTCTTTTTCAGCCACACTCTCAACAGCCTGATTCATTACAGGTGTAGAGTCCGCGCCATCTCTGCTTGGAAGAAGATGTAAATGTTTTCTGCCACTCTTTGTCTTCTTCGTGTTTTGGTCATCTTGTTCTGGCGAATCTTGATGTATAGGATTTTCGTCCACGTCCTCTTCCAGGTCGCCACCTTCCATTTTGCCATCTTCTTCTCCTGTGCCATTGAGGTCCTCGTCCCTACACCACCGTCTCACACTTGCTTGTGTCAGAGCGTACGTGACGTAGGCTTCGGCTTCGATTTCTTTCTCCGTTTCTACCGTCTTCTCCAGAAAGGCGGTTAAAATTCCGAAGTCTTCTCTTCCTCCAAGAGCATCTTTTGATGTAGAAGCTGTTGTAGGACATGCTCTTGTCTCTGTCCTTTCCACATTCACAGCTCCATCGCTTAGAGTATGCGTGAGACTTTGACTTTCCTCCTTCACGACACTGCCACTAGGAGCACACTTGAGAAATCGGTTAAGGATCTCCTTCGCAAGCGCGAAACCTTCTGAAGAGCGTTGATGCCGAGCAACCAGAGACCAGAAACAAGGCTCATACACGCTATGGACTCGTGTCCACAACCGTTCCACCAGCACCTTAAGACTCTTAGTCTGATGTTCTTCTTCTTGTTCTAGCAAGAATATAGTACTAGTCGTGGCGTCACAAGCGCCAAAACTCTCTTTGCCACTCTCTTTGCCGTCACGTAGAAAGCCGAAGACCCTTTTGATCAAAGAGTAGGCGACTGCATCCGCACGTCGCTTAAGAACGGCATAAGGCAGAGACGCTGGTGCTGGTCCGCATTTACGGCTAGGCCTGCTGATGTCCTTAGGAGTTGATGTTGTTGGAGCTCTTTTAGCAGAGGAACCGCAAGTGGAAGAAGCATCCTCGAAAAACGTCAAGGGGCCATCAGTTGAAGACCACAACGGCTCTAAGTTTCGTACCGTTTGGTCTAAAAATACTGCTTGTCGCAAAAGAGACAGCTGCTCTTCGATTATTGTGCTTCCATCAGAAGAAGATGTTGAAGAGGAGTCGACCCCTAGTTGTACATCACTGGTGGAACTAGAACACGCCGTCGCATTTTTAGGACAACTAGTAAGAGCTGCAGGAGTATTTGAATTTCTAATATCGCCAGTCAATGGTGGTTCTCCTCTTGACAAGAGTGATGTTCTCGAGTGATGTTTCCCAACCTCGTCGGGTGTAGCAAAGACATCGACAGAGGCTACGCTATCCACTCGCGCAAGTCCAGAAGCAGCTTTCGCATCCGTGTCACCAAGAACTCTACTGACGTTTATTTCGTGAGACGAGACTCTCCTAGCGCCATCAGGCAGTATACCTTCCCTCTCCTTGTCCGGTACATCACAACCAGTGTTATTTTCGTAATACTGCAGCAGTTTCCAGAAGCTGGGACCGTAGCGCACGCAGACGTCATGAAAGGTTTTCCGGCTACTCGGTTTCTTAGCTGAAAAGCGGATCGAGTCGTAGTCGGGACTGAACCATTCTGCACAAAACTCGGATGAAGTCAACATCTTGTCTGCTCTAGAAGTCATCATGGGCCTGACTGCTCCTGGTCATGAACATCGATCTTGTAAAAAATAATAGAGCTCCCAAGAAATTAATAGAGCTTATTCTTGATGGACGCTCGCAAATTATAATGTCGTCAACAGCATGTCTACATTGTAGATCACCTTTTTAGCGACGAAAGAAAAACTGTGGTCAAAGAAACAGGTGTCAAGAGGATGTGTCGTAGAGGAATAAAGGGCAAAAAAAAGTGTGCTCAATCAAGGGAGAAAGTATAGTCAAAGGGAAAAGTGTTGTCGAGGGCCTGCCTGATATATTGAAGCAAGTATATAATGATGCGAATCTATTCTTCAAACTGCCTAGGGTTTCATATCTGTTGTTTGATGATAGAAGCACTTGCCATGCCGAAATCGAAAACTTGGTGTCATAATGAGTTAGCGCAACGCCACTTTTCGGAAACGATATCAACAAAGAGATCTTCATAATAGGCTGGATCCTTCACGCTGAAGAGCTGGGTCCCTCGTCTTGCTGAAACACGTATTTATGGATCGGCAATCTTCTCTTGAACAAGATTCTAGACTCAAATCTCTTCTGAATCTTCAAAAACAAGATTATCAAGTAAATTCTGCTGATCGTGATCGTGTTGTTTCCATGTCTTTGATGGCATGAGATCTAGTCTACAAACGTTCCGAACATGTGATAGCCCTTGTTCTGTCAGCCTTACGTCATTCAAATTCGATCTAGAATTAGACGATTTCTGGCTTGATTTCAGAGGCCATGGCTCCAGAAGATCTGGGCTTGGGAGACAACAGTGCAATTCGATCTAGTATGGGCTAGATTGCATCCAGAAGAACGGCCGAGGCTTGCGCGTCCGTCGTGAGCATTATTGCTCTCTCAAGGGGAGAACGATGCTGAGTCTCAAATGGTCATCTGCTACGATGATCGGCGAGACAAGATAGTTCCCAAACAGTGTGTCAACTTAGGAAAATGACGATGAAAATTGCGACGAATGTGTTGCAAAGCTGTTGTGGAACGAGTTTATATGGTGGCTAAGTACACAATAGTAGGATGGACTCTACTAAAGACCAGCTGCTGCGTAATAGCCACCTCCAAGATGCAGTTGAAAAAATTATAGCAGTGTCTGTTTCTACAAGGCCAGCATTAGTTACGTTTCTCGTTCTAGCTCTTAGGAAAATGACGACAAGGCCGCGATTCAGTGCGATGTACAACTCTTCGCGAGGTAAGCGGGAAGATGAAGGCGTAGTGTCATCTACTGCATTGTGGAGCATGGCAACAGTGACAAATGATTCTATCAAGAAAACAACACTCCGTGACCGCCACTCGTCCCAGCTGTTCTACTATCAACAGCTTTTTAAAAAAATCACATCGTAATCTTGGCGAGGTCAGCCTTTATCACAATGTTGAAGATCCCCAGAAGCATTCCGCGGTGGGATAAACCTAGGAAATAAGTGAAAAACTAACCGCATATTTGTTCTTTCATTACGTCGAAAAGATCACCCGAGAGATATGAAGTCATCAAGAACTAGGTTGAGAGAACAAAATACCTCAAAGACCTTAGAGAAAATTTTTCACCATTTTTTCACTTTCTTCCCAGAGAAAATTTTGCATCGCCTCATCATGCGCTGTGTGAATCTGCGGAAATATTAGAGCCTAGAGCTTCCATGTGATGTTGACGAGCCATATTTTCGGTATAATTTCAATTGATTGATTGCTTGATTGACTGGCTCATACTATTCAGTGATTGACTACCCCTACTCGAGAGGACGTAAGAAGATATGGCGAATGGGAAAGTGCACTGATTATTGGCGAATCACTTATCACCAAGGTCTTTCATTTCTTGGAGATGAAAGAATCTATCACTAATGATGATGATGACATTGCCTGAAGTTAGCCTGAGCCTTAAAACCAACTGGGTGTCTGAAACGTAGTGCTCCCCGACCACAGGCCGCAACTCGAAAAGCGCATATAAGATGTTTTTCGCGCTTGATTTTAGATGTGTGGCCACTCATTTCATCATGATTCATACGAAATTAAATCCATCATCTGTTGCTCTAGAGAAGTCAACTCTCTTTTGTCTAAGGTCTACCTGATTACCTACGACAAAAATCTATTGGTATTTTATCTGTCATCACTTCGGTTTCTCCTTTTCAGATTGAACTTCATCTTGAAAGTTCATCTTGAAAGACGAGTGGAATTGGAATACCAATTCAATCACAGTTCTATCATCTCCCAGCCGAGTTGAATCTTCTACCGAAAAAACCAGCAGGGGTCATAACTCTTCTGGCGAGATGACTACGAGTCGTGCAATCTGCCGTATTGCGGCAGAGATCACCCGAAAGACTCCACTGGAAACCCCTGATGAAGAGTCTGCTTTCTGCTGGGTCCTCTCTTGTTTTACGGCTTCGTCTGGTGCAGGTCCATCTACTTTTTCCGAAGATGCAGCCGAGGGGACAGCGACTTTATTAGAAGAGGCCGCATCGGAAGTCTAACTTGGAGCTACCATCCCTCCCTTTACACAAGAGGAAACCTCCAAGAACGGTGTACTAAATCTGAACAAGCCAGCACGTAACATTGGAAAAGCTAAAGAGCTCCGAGCCTGATACTGCGAAAGAGATCCAGAATGGTGCTGCGTGCGTCGCCAGCTGCGTGAGAACCATGCCTGGGTATGAATGGTGTCTATTCCATCTCGGCAGACCATCGAGGCCCCCTTAATCTATACAGTTTCAAGGGGAAAAGGGGCAGCCTCGATGGTCCGATAGATGCAAAAACATCAACCATACTGGGTGCACCGACACACTATGGAGATTTTCCTTGCGGACTAGAGCGTTCGAGAAGAGGTTGTTCATCAGCTTCGTGTCGCAGTAGGTCATTTTGGTGAAATGTGTTCCCAGTTCGGTGCCGTTCCTCGTCTTGAATCCCGGCACATGGCCAAAACCGTGCGCGAAGGAGCTCACATGTACGACCCGTCTGAGGACCTTCTTCTTTTGGAGCAGCAGTCTGGTGAGTAGGAAGTGGCCCAGATTTAGAAATAGAGCAAATACATCTCGTCGAGCACCTTAATGCCCGCTTATTTTCCTTTGAGAAACGGGCCAACATCGATCTTTGCTGTCAGGAGATAGATTTATCGTAGCCGTAACAGATGGTTACTCTGAAACTGCATTTCGAAGCCGTCCTCTGTTAATTGGCGCTCTGGCAACCATGCTAGACCCGCATTGTTCACGAGAACTATAGCCCTATTTTCCCGCTCGCTCAACGCCCGAAGCCTAACCGCGAACTCTTTCGTTAGACGCACACGCACTTTCATAGAAGTGTAGCTAAAGCTAAGGACTTGATGACCATCATAACTGAATCAATTATAGAAGATTAGAAGACTCCTACATTTGTGTCTTAATTTTACTGACTGGAGTGAAGCCAGGTTAACGAGTTCCACACGGCGACCAAGGACAAGCTTAGCCGCGTTAGGTGTATCGGAGTCAAGACGTGGAATCGAGCTGGCTGTGGTCTCATGAACTACATTTCCGTTTTTCGATTTTTTTGATCGGTCCACTGCGATCAGCTGCTTCTTCAATTTCTCCGTGCTTCGAACCGCATAGATTACACGCTCGTCGCTCTCTACATCTGCTCTTGGATTAGGATTAGAGCTACTCCTCAGCGCAATACTTCATCCTTTAAGCCTATTTTCTGGTCATCTCTTCAGAACATGCTAAGAAAAAACCACTTGACATACATACTCCCTTCCAAAAATGGAAAAAGAATGATCAACATCGGAGCCTTAATGCTAGGCCCCGTTCTTGAATCCTGTTCCCTGGTCGATGAATCTGCTGAGTCTTGTTCCCTTGTGAGTCGTCTAAGCTCTTCTGCAGTAGCTAACCCTATGCCACTGGAAGCTCCTGTGACCACAAACAGCGCGTCGCGGTCGATAGACGAGGGCCGCGGAGCAAAGTCCAATGGGGAGAAAGCAACAGGCCAACCGGTTCTTGGATGCGCGATTCCACAGATTAGATTGTTCAAAAAGAGAGCTTTTCTAGAAGTGCCAGTGCTTGCTCTCCTAGAGATGCCACTTTGCGTCACGGTGGTCATAGCATACCACAGAACCACTACAAAGTGAACTATCTTACTAGTCGTGATGCATAAAAAGGTCTTCTGCCGCGTTGGCAGGATAAACATATCAATCAATTCATTCTTAAGGGATGCGGATGCTGCGGCGAACGAAACAACGAGTAGGCAAGACCCTCTCGATGGTGTTTGGGGAGTTGCTGTATCAGGATTGCACCCAGGAGGAAGAGAACGATCGGAAAGAATTTGATAACGAAACGATTAGGAGGAGTGGCCATTTTCTTGTAATGGTGCGTGGTCTAAAACACTGGTAATGAATGAAAAAAGGTACTGCTAGGATCATAAATGAAAAAGAAACTACACTTTGAGCTGGTTGTGCACACTCATCGAAAAAAAACGACCTACAACCTACTATCCATGGACAAAGATCCACTTTTTTCTGTAACTTTCGTCTGCGAGAGGAACAAAAAACTCAGGCTCCTCCTGAATTAGAATTCGATTCGAAGCTTTCTGGCTTGATTTCAGGGGCCATGGCTCCAGACAGTCTGGGCCCGCGTGGGAGACAGTGCATTTCGCCCTTTAAAAGTGTGGCTTGCGCGTGTGCGTCTGCGCGTCTCAGCTCGATCACAGAGAATCATACAAATCACTGACCTGGGCGTATCTGTAAGTCTAACTGTAACTGAAATTCAGAGATCGTTCCGTGTTCGCGGAGATTCTTCAGTGAGATTCCTAGATGAAGATGAAAATTGTAAACAGTATCGAGAATCACAGGAAACACCACGGGATGAAAAAGAAGAGGTCATTTAAGTACAACGGCGCGTGTTATGTGTAGATGTGATGATTCTTCGTGAGAGAAAAGATTCAGATTTTAAAGTAGGATCATATGCATTCATCAGAAGAGGACTCGTCACTTACATTAGATTATCAAATTAGGTACTAGCTTAGGTTCTAGTTCTTAGGTTATACAACAACATAATAGTAGAGATACAAAAGGAGCTTTTTTATCGTGGTGTCTGTCTTGTAGTAGATTTAGATTAGTGATTACGGTGCTCAGATGTTGCGAGCAAGCAACAGCTGCCTGTACATCGCTTGTTTGTTTTGTACTGGGGAAAAGTTTCTTGGCTTCTACCACTCTGGGCTATGAATCTCTACACAACATCCATGATTGCCTCAAACCACCACACTCGCCAGCCTTCTACCCTCCTAAATAAAATGTAAAACGGCATGACGAGAGGCGAAAATATATCAAATGACAACAACAAAAATTCTTCTCAGGATAATATCGATCTATCCTCAAAACTACCACTAACAGAAAATAAGACAGTAGTACCACCAAGATGACACGAGCACGAGCAAAACTTGAAGATGTTCTTCCAAACACTAAAACAACTTACACTCTTGTTACTAGCTAAACTAGAAAGGACGAGAGAGGACCACGAGGGCATTGAGATATTCATGATCAACGGTGCGTGAGTAATATGATTGTTAGACTAGAGTATCTTCGTGTAGTGACCACTGTTACTCCTGAAGAGGTCGTGGAGCATATCAATCTGTATAATAGTTGATAAAAATGAGCTTAATTTCGATGTCGGGGCCCTACAACAACTTGATGCAAGGAAGTAGTTGGAACCATATTGACCCCGAAAAAATAATCAAAAAAAATGGAAAATCGATCTCGATGATACAAAAACGGTGCTACTTCCGACATAATTAGGAGGTTGTTTCTCGTCCTCTAGTGCAACAATTTATTCGGCGGGTTTAGTAAGACGAGTATGAGTTTAATATTGCCATGTCGTGTGTTTCTGTGCATAATACTCTCCCCCAAGATGATGCTCTGTCTCTACTGCTCCCAAATTTCTGCGTAAGTTGTACTCCCGTTTAGCACTTGTACAATATCAATAGATCATACCTCTACGACAAACGAGTAGTACAATGAAATGGATCAACTTTCTTGTTAAAATTTCATCTCACCGTCCATGTTTCACCTCACCAGCATGCCATACCTCATGACAGACATTACATAACACTGACAACAAAAACCTGCAAAAATGCACGTACTTTTTTTTGGGAATTTGAACTCCATCTTCAAGTACATTCACCTAACATTTCATGAATCGATCCTCGACACATAGTCTAGTTGTAATCCGCGAGCGTGACGGATTTCCTTATATCATGGATCGATTGACATTCTTGTACCTACAACTTAAAAGGTATCTATAACGATTTTTGATGCGTATATAGGGTGGACTATAAGCTAATCAGATCAACATCCAGGCCCAGGGAAACTAGCCGGCTATTATTTTCTGTAGTAATGAGATTCTCGTAGACCACTACAGTTGCAATCGCCGACAGCGAAGGAATCTTCCTAACGATCCTACGAGACCACATACATTATGTGAAAATTTCCTCCCACTTGGTGCGCTATTCTTATCTGAAAATTCGAAAAAAAAATATTTGACTCGTCACAAGATGATGAATGTATCTTGGGTACAGAGACAGACCTCCAAGGAGGATATTGCCGCTAATCACATTACATCAGCTTCACCAGTAAAAACACAACAAAAGATCTTCACTCAATCTTCACTTCATTGTCCAGCTCCCGCTCTAAGCTTATCGAACATAACGAGCACCCCAGTGATTTAGACGAGCTCACCCTAATATTAATCCATCCTACAACAGAGTAGAGATCATCCTGAACAAACCTTGCTTGAAAAAGAATCCTTCCCAGGATGATTAATCTCTCTGAAACAGGAGATGGATTAGGAGATGAAGCCTTAAGTGATATCGTCGCTGATCTCGTTGTCACTGTCTTCCATCCACAACGACCATGATAGCTTTGCGAGCTCCTCCACCGATCGTTGCGGGTTATTGCCATCCTGCTGCATTGACTGTTAGAGCTAGTGCTGTTCTTGCTAATAGAAGACTCTTTTTGTTTCATTCTTATTGGAAAAGATCATTCTTACGTTTACTTTTGTTCAGTACTTATTCGATTCACCATTCTAACCCATGTTCATTTTCTGAGAACAAACTCAGAAATTAACATTAGACATCTGTGGAAATTTATGAGTTGTCACAAGCCTTAATTCTGCATCACGCAATTAGACGCTCGAGCTCCATCTACAAATTCCCACACGCCGTCCGAGCATATCAGCATTCCGATGTCATCCTGTTTTTGTTTCGACGTTCGAAGTTTCTTGTTTACTAATCAATACTACAGTTCACGACTAAATACTAGGTCAAGTCAGAGTTTATCATCTTGTACGTTTACGTAGACCTATTAAGAATGTTACATTTACAGCTACAGCTTGAATAGTAAGGTATACCGAGGACTCTTCAAAGTGAGTAGTTCATCTATGGAGTGAAGTTGGAAAATAAAGAGACTACTGACCCTGTAATTCTTGAAGTAGTCTTGATGTAAAGTATAAATCTCAGAAGTCCTCTTCAAAGTCAGTAGTTCATCTATGGAGTAAAATATAAATCTTCTCACAAATCTACTTACGTCCTGTAGTCGTATTTGCGTCACGTCTGGATCAGCGCAAAGGCCTGCTTCTCTATGCGCTACGCAGTCCCCAAAAGCCCTTGACATGTTGAGACCGGGATACATCTGCCCTTTCGCGAAAACTCTGTGGTTGAAAAAGCCGTCTGGTATTAGGAGTTTGTGTTGCAGCGGTGTACTTGTTGTCACGCAGATGATAGTATAGCAAACTACGGGATAAGACGAAATAGTTGTAGATCGCACTTGGATAATCTTTTTTGCTCCTTGATTTTGTTTTTTCCTTTATTCAAGCGTATCTACTTGAGAAAAAACATGCTCACCCTCTTCACTCGTCAACAACGTGAATATTACACTTAGCAACCCTACTGAGAATCTTCAACTTCATGCCATAAAAAGAGCACTCGGCCACCTCGCTCCTCTATCCTGGCTTTTTCCTTTGCTAGACTAGGCTTGTGGTCTTCGGTGAGACCCCTTCCACCCCATGAGCCTCGCGACCTTGATATCATCGTCGCTCTGCTGTCTCCAACATGTGCGATCTGAGAAGTTGTATTCAAAGTTTAGATGCACGTCGTGTGATAATCATCTTAGAACGCAGTTGTCCTAATCCCACTCCGAAATCCAGAGTCCTCTTGTATGTCTAGAACGTCCTATCTCTCAGGCGAATCCAAACAACCTCACCATAGATACTTCTCACCATATCTACGTATCATCTGTCTCACAACAGACGTAAAACAAAAACAATACGTAGATGGTCCCGGCTTTTTCTCTGGTAAGTGGCTGGTAAACTAGGGTGCAGGTCGTTCCTGACATGCCTGCTTGAAGAGAGCCTGTTTTTTCTGCATGCTCGATTAACCTCTGACATCTACCAAATGCATCTGTGAGCGCCGATGCTGGGTCTGTCGTGGGAGGTAGGTATTTTTGTTTTCGAAAAGTAAGATGTTGCGATAGGCATTTTGTTTTCGGGGAAACAATGTGTTGGGTTCCTTCGATGTGAGAATGAAGGCAAAAATGGATTTGGATCGTATGTAATATTCGTCGTTCCGCAACGTTTATATATAGCACCTTTCTGTCTCTGCGGATCGTTCAGGAAGATCTTCGGTAGATTTTCCTTCACGAACTGTGATATATGATGCCCATGTGCGCCGTGCCCATCGTAAACTCCGGTCAATAAAAACTCGTCCGAAACGTAGACCTGAAAAGAACTCAAGGGAGGTGATATTGTCTCTGCCACGAGTAGAATGTGGACACGAGTAGAAGAGAACGCGGGATGAGACTTTTGCGAGGAGGACGTGTAGATATGAGTAGAAAATCAAAAGTGAGGATGAGAAGTAAGACAAATTACTACTAAACATACATCATCATCAATTCAGGATTATACGACACTAAAGGCGTCTTGATTCGGGCTTTCCGGCTTCAGGCCTTTTCTACATGTTGCGCCAATTCCTAGCCTATTCAGCTCCTCTCTTGTCTGTGCTTGCACGTCTCTTCTAGCGACCGGAGCTGCTGTTAGTTGTAGTAAAACGGTGGAGGTCTTCTAGAATTAGAAAGGTCAATAATTCGACCAAATCATGCGAATATACGAATACCTCCTGCAGATGAAGTGCTTGAACTCTGCCCAGTCGTTGGTTTTTCGTCGAAGGACTCCTGTCGTTCTGCTGTGACAGAACTGAGGGTCAATTTTCTTTTGCCGGCTTTCACTATGTCCGAGACATTCTGCGTCTTCAGGTAATTTATCAAGTTGCCGCTCTCCTGCGGCACTCGCGACTGTTGCAGAGACCTGTGGGTGGGTATCGTGGAGGGACGGGATCACATCTAGTTAGTGCACATCTTCTTCTTGCGGCTGATGCAACTGAACCTCCGATGTATAGACGAGTTCAATCCCTAATGATTTCTTTGTAGTAACAAGCATCGATGAACGAAAGAAAGAAAAAAGTACTCTTTCTTATCCACGACGCCTAGAGTGAGTCGCCTTCTTTCTGTAGGGACTCGTCGTGTGCGCTTTCTCGGGTCGCCCCGGGTCATGTAATCGGCCATTTTTCTTGTTCGAGGACTTCCGTACACGAGTCTTCGTCCTTGTTTTTCGTTGCTCTTTTACACAAATTCTTTAATATGTGATATCAAGTTATACGCGACTTCTCAATATGTGATGCCGACTTAAATCTTCTTGGGAGAGTGGCAGTGGTGCCTTATTTTCATTTTCTTTGTCGCGATGGGTGTCAATACCAAATTATGTCGAAACTTCTTTTTTGATAATGAAGTTCATTCAATTTTCGGTCTTGATTATGACGTTTCCTTTTACGGTTTTTTCTCCGGGCAAGCAACACCCCAGCTAGTTATCTTTTCCTAAAAAGCAACGACAACTTCAGTTCTTTTGATTTTTCAGAAGTATAGTCAAAATTTACTTGATTATTATCTTCTCTAACACCAGAGGTTGCGGAAGGGGTGGGGGTGCGAAGGCGTTTTTTTCGAGTTCGAAGGGCTTCTCGTCGGATCTCTCTCAGAACAATGTGAATTTCAAAAAAAATGTTGTCTCTCGCAGCAACAGATTTTCTTTCATCGAGGATCGTGTTGACTCTTCTCCTCATCTGTTATCTGCCTTGCAAGAACACTACGATCATTTGTGACGGTAAGCGGAAGCAGCTGCAGAGGAATGCGTGACAGTTTGTTCTGTAGTAGTTGATGTTCACTGAGTCATAGGTGTTGAAGTGCTGTGTTTCATTGTAAGTATGATTATGATGACAATTGATAGGAATGCGAATTGATAGGAATGCGAATATTAGATTTGATGAAGAGATACTGTTTCACTCCCGTGTCAATCTGCCTTAGTGGCAAACATCCATGATAATATAAAAGGTATAATGTATAGCCTACATAGTACATTATGCGTCACATCTTCCCGCGTCAAGAGAGTTCTTACCTTCAAGATGAAGATATAACCTTCAGCAATCTTTCATGACAAGGCACATCCTGCGTCTGAGTCATCTCATGACATGGCACATCCTGCGTCTGAGTCTTCCATATATTCAAAGCGCGTTGAACCTGCTACACGCGCTGATACACAATCTTGGATATCTTCCCATTCTCTCAAGGCCCTACTGGGTTGACTTCCACGTCTCGGATTAGGGCTGTCCACTATTCATCTCTGGCCTGCATCTTTGAGAGTATTTTTTAAGCAGAATACTCTTCAAAGATGCAGTGAAAGAGAAATTATCGAGAGTCTTAATCTGAGAGGCTCTCAGTTTCCCAGTTTCTTCCTCAACGAAGGCAAGTGCTGAGCGCTCGTTCGTGAATAGCATACCTACTACCGAAAGCACACGCGCAACGGATTCGACGCCACTGTGAACCTCGTAAGTTTTGTTGTAAGGACTCTTTGATGAGGGGTTCCCTATCGCATAGCCCAAAATGTCAGAATGCAGGGTCGGTAGTCCTCTATCCAATTTTTTCGACATGGATTGGGAGTAGTATCTACCAGATCCATGTCATGTCATGGAGCCTCTTATATAGCAGTAGGTGTCTACCTGTGAGGCCGATCAGTGTTATAACAGTACCTCCTTGTTGGAGAGCGAATATGAATATAGCACAAAAATGTTACCAACTCATACTGCAACGGATCCCAGAGACAGTCGTGATTTGCGCCATGATGCAGCAAAAACCTGACCATATTTGGTTGTCTCCAGCACACTGCTACCTGCAGGGGCGTCGGTGCGTCTGAAGCACGTGCAGCTGAACCTTCAATGCAAGCATTCAGCTCCAATAATGCTTTTGCTGTGGTTGTTAGATGTTGAGGCTTGGAAAATATCAGATTAGAGTTCGTTGTAGACCCAGTTGTATCTTCTGAAAATAAAGTTGTAAAAGGATCTAATAGTAAAAAGTTGAATTATGAAAATAGCTTTTCGTCTCTATCTTTCATGCGTAGAAGCACGACCACCTAGGCTATGTTCTATCTAGGCTGACGACTATCATGATTACTGTACAAGACATAACTTCACTCGTCCATGCACTGCCGCTGTGTGTAGGAGCGTAAAATTTTTTCGGTAGCCGAATCGATCTTCCGCTGGATCTCCGCGTGTCAGCAAGTGTCCATAGTAGTTGACGTCTGCGCCCTCTCTTACTCGTGCAAGCATCTCCTCTCGGCCACCACGAGTTTAGAACGATACAAAGCTTATTTTAGACATCTTGCTTACTTCTGGGAAGAAAAAAGTCCAGAGTTAAGATGAATACCTGACCAATTCTGTGTAGAAAAATGGAGCACCTCAGACCAATCCAAGCTGTGACAATTCAAACAATCCAAAACCACAATTGCCTTAAAAATAGTTTCCTACACAGCTACGCAATTTGGCTTGTGGATGATCTTCTGCTCTGATATTCCTCCAGTCACGGATTCGTATTCGCTGAGGTGGGCCCGCACTTCCTGCTGTAAGGCCAACATTCACAAGAGGTACTGACGCTTGACGTTGTTGCGCTACTATCGGATTTAGAATAGGACAGCTTGGGTTCTTTGTTATCTGAAGTAGAGATAATTCACGCTCATCTGGGAGGTTCTTTCATCTTTGGCATATACCATTAGCCAACATTAGCTTTCGTTGCATCTTGACCTTGTTGCAGAATCAGCAACCGTGTGAAATGATCTCGTTGGCCTTAGAATTTAAGAAACGACTCTCCTTCTTAAAATGAAAAAAAGTTTTGTACCGAATAAATGCATCATCCAAGATGCCCTTAACTGTTGCTGCTGTTGCTGTGTCCCTGCATTGTTCTGTGACATCGTCCCAGTGTTACTCCCAGGAGCAGTAGTGCCTGATACCGGTACCGCACGCGCAGCTCCTTGAGACGCCATCATCGCTTGTTGCTGCATCGCCACCGCTTGGTGCATGGCCGCGGCTTGTTGCTGCATCATGCCGCCAACATTCATAGTTACGCCCGCATTCGATGCCGTGTACAAGGGTTGCCCACTGCTGCTCACTACTTTTAGCGACGCTACGCGTGCTTGACTCCATCTCGGTCAATACACCTTCATCTCGATATTGCCTTTTCCCTCGTGTTCTTGTTCTATGGGATGAAGGGAAGCGTAGTACCGAAGAGATGCTGAGAATGATGGAGAAACAGTCACCATAATACTTGCATATTGCCTGCCATGTCGTAGGTAACGCGAATCCCAGCTGCAACATTCGGCATGACAGGTGGTACTTGCGGCATCACATAAGCAGAGGGCTGCTGGACAATGGATTAGAGTTTACAAGAGCAGTTCACTTTCCATAACTACTTGATGTTTTCACGACGAGAAGGATCAGAAGGAGACTCCTGAGACATATGTCTAAATCTCTGGAAATGAATTACTTACGTACGCATCTTCTTCATGTGTCTTAAATATAGCTGCCACCGCGTTGAATGTTCACTGGGCTGCCTTGTCCTGCGAGCATCACAGGACCTTGCGCTGGACTTTGTTGAGCAGGCGTGTAGCTTGTAATCGTCACTCCATTCTATTAGCGCTCTTATGTAATGAAGTGAAAAACATGTTAATTTTACCAAAGGAAGCTCGTCAACAAGTAAAAAAGGGAGAATGCGAAGCACTACAAAGGGAACAGCATGATTAGCATGAGTAGTAGTTGTAGTACTTATTCATGAAGATGCAAGGCGGAGGATGTTCACATGACAATGTCACGTGACAGCTGTCAAAACATATTCCCATAAGATGAAGTAGTGGTAGTCGTGGAGCCCATGCCACTCGTTCTCAATACAGGCGGCTGCTGTGGAGGAGCGGGTATACCAGGTGGTGCAGGCGGGAGTGGTGGAGGTGGCGGTGGTGGTATCCCTGCATAGCCAGTTCCTGGTGCTGCAGACACATTAAAGTTCTCCTAGGCGAGTAGAAAATCACTGTGAAAGATTCTTTCACGTTGTAAAAGAATGCGCTAGCCGTGTCTGCTTATTCTGACTATACTATCGTCCCTACATGATCACACTGTGACCCCGATTCAAAAAGATGCAATTAGCAATTTTTTTCTCAGTAGGTAATTCCCCATCTACGTCTTCCTAAGTGCCTCCTCTAAAAACGTAATAAACTTCCACCCAAATGATCATAACACCCCCAGTGGCTCCCGGCGTCGTTCTGCGCTCTGCTTCTTGCATCGCCGCATCCATTAGGTTTACTTGCCTACCCGTAAAGAGCTGTTCAGCGATAGACCGGAAAAAACCACCATTGCCCCCACTGCTAGACGGCCCGGTTCCAGAAGAGGAGGAACCTGTATTAGAGACACGGCAAAGACGACCTTCCAGAGGAACCTTGCCGGAAGGTCATCTTTGACGTGTCTCTAATACAGGTAGACTATGCGACGCACGGTGCCCTCAGACAAGAAGACAGCAGACGCAACGCGAAAAAATCTACCCAAGAATATGCCTGAACCAAAGATCGGAAGGTCATCTTTGGCGTCAGATGGTGGTAGGAGCCAATGAAGATGCTTCTCCGGAGGAACTAGAACGAGCCTTAACACTGCCACTTCGAAGTGCTGGAGGCGCCACGGGTTGTGGAATCTTGTGCGTCTTGCAGTAATCTTCTATCAGAGATTTCACGGCGCGGTTGGGAATCAGGGATCCTTAGATAAAGTGTTGATGAAGATGGAAGTAACATTAAACACTTACACTTAGTTTGAACGTGCTAGGGGAGAATTTGAGTACTCAAAAAATTGGGATCCTTGGTCAGAAAGCAAGAACATCTCCTGAACACCAAAACTCAGCGTTCAAGATCCAATAAGCACAAGACCATCTTCGTGCGCCTCGTGAATACTTCAATTTCATAAGCTTGTGATATGTTTGCTCTTGTCACTGGACTTGTCCGGTGCCCCAAGGAAAACCAATCGGCAATGGATTGACGGTCGTAGGTTTGCCCATCCTCTGCTATCACAGGATCGGCCATCAGCTCCTGTGATATAGGACACACGAACTCCGATGGATGTTCTACAGGCGGCGCGGGTTGCTGTTCTGTGTTAGAACTAAGAGAGATCCATCTCCGGTCTCATCTTGGTTCCCGTTTTCCCTTAAACGTGAGCGGGGCCAAGAAGATGCTGGGGAAGGTGGATTTCTTGTTGCCTTAACTGCAGTAGACGGTGAGGAGGAAGAACCTCCTGGAGGTGGAGGAGGTGGCGCGGGAGCTCCTGAGGAGGAAGAAGAAGATGATCTTGGCTGTGGTGCTGGTGGCGCCGGAGCTCCTGAGGAGGAAGCAGAAGATGATCTTGGGTGTGGTGGTGGTGGAATGGACGAAGAAGATGAGCTCGGCTGCGCTGAAGATGATGATGAAGAAGAGCTTGGCTCTCCTGTTGAGGATGATGAACCTGGCACGCCACCTTGTCCTCCAGTAGACGAAAAAAAAGTAGTACTAGTGGTCGGACCTCCCCCTGAAGATGATGAGTTGTTACCACCTCCCTTTCCTGTTCCTGGCGACTGGGGTGGAGCACTCGGTGTACCAGAGGCACCATCGTCTAGATACGGATTGGTAGGCGGCGGTCTTTGAAAAGACTGCGCGTTCGCCAGATGCTGCGTCTCGGGTTGTAGACCCGGATACAAACTTGGGTTAGCACCGTCGGACGACATATTTTTGGTCCTCGATCACTAGGTACTGGTATGTAATGATGAAACCTAATGAAGGCGATGGTCCTCGATCACTAGGTACTGGTATGTAATGATGAAACCTAAACTGGTAGAATCTATCTGTGACAAGTTGATGATCCTAGGGACTTTTGTGAGGTAAACCGTCTACCACGAGTACAACTAGATACTTACTTCTTGCGGCTCTGATCTATCCGTCAACATGAAATCAACATCCTCTCCTGCGCGAATTTTTTCGATGCCGCAGGTTCGTCCACCTTCTCGGCTCGTCCTCCAATCTTCATCAATCTGAAGCTGTGTCGTGCACAGATGATGAACAAGATACGTACTGATATCAGTGGTTAAGGACATCTACCGCTGCTTAGCAATTCCTTCATCAAGGGGTCTTGAGGTATTCAAAAAGAAACTTTTATAAGCCATCTTCGCAATTGTGATTATCTCCTTACAAATTTGTCACCTAGACCGCGTGTTTTATCAAGCATGAAATTACATCGAAACAAGCCTGTGCATGCAAATGCTTCTGTTCATAGATATGGTAAGGTTTCTTTATGTAAATTTTTCATATCTACGTGACTGGGTAAAATTCTTGGTAGAAGGGACAGCTAACTGCCCCATTTGTTCATTTTATCTTGCATCATTGTACGCATTCAAGCACTTCACATATATGCCGAAAAATCATGAGGATCACAATTTCAGACCTTCTCGGTGGCGACTATTTCTTCTGAGATAGCTCTCACCACATTGCTGGACGCTACATTTCATCTCAACGTCTCTTCCCGTTTAGGCCGAGCCGATTTTCTATATCGCCCTTGTCGTGTACTTCTAGTTGCTGCCATATATAAAGCGGATTCGTAGCTAGAACAGACAACTTCACTGCGTCGACGGCCCGCATTCATACTCGATAGGACGTGCCTACGCGATTTCGGCATTCGCTGGGCAACCCGAAAACCTAGTCCGGCTCCATTTCTGCGAGAAGAAGATTTTGATGAGTTTCTCTTTCCTTGTCGCTGTTTCATACTTCTGCACTCCTTCGTCTTGGCTGCTCTTCTCCGCCTTGTCCTGGTACTAGTACTATAAGTAGCTACTGAAGACGAGTCCTCGTTTTTTGCTGAAGTAGCAGCTGTGTTTTCGTTTCTAGTGATCCAACCCGCAGCCTGTGCATACCTCCGCATCAGCCACTGTAGATGCGAGGAATTTGAAGCAGCAATGACTTGTGAACCATCTTCAAGTGGTGGGTAATAGCAGCTACTATGGGAAGGTGGAACTGGATAGGCAAGCATTGGAGAAAGCGTTGGAGGCAACATCCCATTGTTGTTGGGCGGATGATAATATTGAGGTGGAACAAGCGGTGGAGAGATATTGTAGTCATGTCCGGCTGCGGGTCGTGGCACCCGCCCCATTGCAAAGGAGTGGAATGGATGCATGTAGCTGTAAGCAGGGTGTGAAGTAGGAAACAACACGTCCGCCTTGGGATCTTTTTCATTTTGCGCTGTCGAAGATGAAGAAACCTTGTTTGCACTTTTTCCTCCCCTATTGCTTGTGCTAGCACACCAGCCGCTACCATAATTTCCTCTTGAAGTATAATTTGTTGTAGACGGACGTGACAGTGTCGATTGTGTTGTTTTTCCAAAAGGCGTCTTCCACGCAGTCGGCAACGAAGATGATCGATGTTTTGTGACACCTCGTCTCCCATGCACTATAGACTCGTCCTTGCTCCAATTTTTTACTCCACCACTTGACCAAGAACTACTACCAGTACAACTGCTACGAGGACTGCTGCTCTCCTGTCCAGTTCTTGTAAAAACAGGTCTAGTACAAGAACTCGGATAAGTAGAGGTACTAGCCAAAGGCAAGATGATTGGCTTGTCTCCAACATTACGACTTCCTTTACCCTTCTCCAACGGACTGTCACCTGTAGCTCCCTTCTCCTTTTCAGTTCCCCCTGAGAACGGTCGGTCGTCGACAAATGTAGCTCCGTAGCCCTCGAAGAGGTTTTTGATACTCGGTTGCTCACGCGACACAGCGAAATACTGTGGCGCTCCATTTCGTTCCAATTCGGCAAACACCTCTGCAAATGATGCTTAGGAAAAGGATTGAAGCTACAGGTTGTCGTAGCAAAGAGAGACGAAGGGACAGCTAACTGCGCCATTTGTTCATTTTATCTTGCATCATTGTACGCATTCCAGACAACTAGGTCACTTGAAGATGCCAGCAGCTAAAAATCTGTTGATGCTTCCTCTACTAGTACTCACGAATTTTCATTTTCTTTCAGACAATTACTTCTTGAAAGAGTAGATGTTCGTCAACTTCACAATACTACCAGTTGATGCCTTAACCTTTATCCCTTGACACAATTGCGATGTTGTAGCGGTCAACTAGGGAAAGCCGTATTGCGTCGATTGCTAATTTCTTGTCGACCAGTTCTGCGCGACTTTGTCCGAACCTGTTGTGGCGTGATACAAATAGTACTCTTACCGACACTTCACAGATACAGAGACAAAGTGGCTTCAGAAATAAAATTGATTCTCTTGTTGTATAGTACTGGCAGAACCTAAAAAAATTGATTTCTTGCCTTCACATCACAAATTCTCCTTTTCTTCGCCACTGTTAACTTACTACATAACAATCAACGGTTGTTGAAGGCCTACCAGTAGACTTCAAGAAAGTGCGCCTTCACAACTAGTCGATGGAAATAAAAAAGTACGCCTTCACAACGAGTCGGTGAAAATTGTGTTTGTCGCCATATTGATTCCATTTCTTTCCTTCCGCCACGTCCTGTCTCGCAAAGTAGGCCCTGCGGACTGGCACTGTCGCACCGATAACGGTATGAGTTAGAGCTTTTGGAAATCTGTAGAGTTTTTAAGAGCATCCTGGAAAGAGGTGCCTCCTCGATTTCTTCAGCTCTCATCAACAAAATTGAACCTCTTTCAAGATCGATCAGGATTCTTGAATCAAGACGAGTGTGAGTAGCATCCGCAGCCCATAAATGAAAGTGTTCTATCACGTGTTCCATCTCGGAAGGCATTGCGTGATCGCCGTCTACTAGCAATGCGACGCGAGTTTGGATCTTCTTGTTTGGAGGTTCATCCCCATCTTTGCCAGAGCAGCCTTCGTCTACTTTGCTCAACATCGTATCTGCTGCGTGATTGTTAGAAGAAAAATCGGGGTCTTTCCCTCGGGACACGCAGCTATGGATGTTATGAGACGAGATGGACTTGTGCACGCCTTAAGATTGCCGCTGCTTTCCACTTGCGGTTCCTGCTGAGCCTGAAAAGCCCACAAGTTTCGTCTAGCATCAGCTGATACCACAGGCAGGATACTATTACTAGCAGAGGAAGGAGCTGAAGCAAGAGGTTTAGTCTTTCCTTTTGAAGGTGAAGAGCCTGCTCGCCCAAGAGGCTGCTCACACACCTGGTGAATGCTCAGCCCAGAAATGCCTTCAATGGCATAACTCAGTTTTCCTGGTCCAACAGTGTGAACTCCCGCATTGGACACCGTACCATTGGCTGTGCTCCTGCCATTAGGTAGGCCAGTCGTGCCTCCATTGGTTGCGGCTGTAGTACCATTTTGTACAACGCCCCCGCTAGGTCGACCACCAGCACCATCTTCACTACTCGATACAGTCGCAGTCGGAAGCAAGGCCTTTATCGTAGCTGTGTTCGATACACGTTTCACCCAATCGAACGCCTTCGCACTCCGTACGAACGATCGCAACGACTCACGTACAACAGAAGCCATCATGCAACTGTCAGTTGCATTGAAACGAAAAGATCCATCACATCCGTACAAAAAAACGTAACTCAAAGTAAATACCAGAACGAGTTCAGTTTGACATTCGTCAGTCAGTCAATCACATAACTCGTCAGCCCTTCATCTCGTTGGGAGACGTCCTCCAAAACAGCTATTCGTATACACTTGGGACGTTGTTCATCTTCATTTTTCTACTCAGTTTCGCGCCTCGGCAACTTCGCACTTGTAGTGCATGGGCAGTTTATTACTATTCTCTATCTAGTGATTTTCCATTGAGGAGTTTGGCAAGTGAGATTCTATCAAAAGAACCTCGAAGGTGAAGCACAATAAATGCGCAAAGTAGCACAGACAAGATGATGGAATCAATGGATAGACGCGCCTGGTGTTCAACGTACTCTGTTTTGTATGTGTTGTTTTTGCGCATCACATGAAAAAGAATGTATGACGGGTCATGGTGTTTTCGCTATATGAGGTCTTCTGTCATGAGCACGATGAATGCAAAATGAAGAATGAGGATGGCTTATCTAGTACACGATGGTGAAAAACTACGGATCTTAGACTACACTAAGTAGGTAAGTAAGTAAGTTGGTAATGATCGACGTGGAAGATGAAATTATCATGTAGGCGAGCAATGTTTCAACACATGCTTATCATGCTTATTATGGTTACCGTGTCGAAAATGGCGCTTAAAGGATCGAGACATGTCTAAGATGTAGGCTGGGGAATCATGATAATCATGGGAATATTTTTATTTCCTGGGAATATTATGGGAAATTCCATATGACAACTTTACACTGTGTAAAACTTAAACTTCATCATGATACTCATGTGTGGGATCATTGTGCACCGTGAAGGACCGATGTGAATGAGGAAGAACATCAAATAATGAAGGAATGCACGTCCTTATTGAATGTCGTATAGGTACTATCTTTTCATCCTCTGAGCTTTCCTTGCCTCCTCCTCCGCTGCTTTTCGTTCAAAGTCAGCCCTTGCTTTCCTCTCCTCCTCTGTCAAGGTTAGTTCGTCTCGGATCAGGCGTCCAGTCATCTTGTCCATGTATCTCTCCGGCTTTTCAGAATACGGTGAGAATTAGAGAAGCGGGCCAAAACTAAAGTAAAGGATGCGTTTCGAACTAAAGGATGCGTTTTTGAGGGTATCTATTAAGCTGGACGACTAAACGAGAATGCCTAAAGTAAATAGCTATCAACTTCGATCGTTGTAAAACCTCTGCTTTACTCGTGGTACCATGCATCATTTAGCTATAATCATGGCCATCAAGAAACTGAGTGTGCGAGTCATAAAAAAAGTAGCTTCTCGAAAAGGGTGGTCGACATTCATTCTCCAGCGATGGTACTCGCACAAAACAACGGTCATCCCAGTCGCACCGACTTTGCAAAGTACCACGACGTCTTTTTTTTGTTCTTCCACGTCCTCTACCTCCAGGACTACCACCACTGCTAGGTCCACCTCCTTTCTTACTACATTTACCAGTACTAGTTGTGCCAGAGGAGGAACTCGTCTTCTTATTTGGTGAAGTACTAGGTGCTTCCTTTCCCTGCTTTGCCATTTTTAAAGGTAGTTTTTCACTATCGCCGCTTGAGTGCAGCGCTCCCCTTTTTCCTGTTTACTTTCCCCCCGACAGACAAGCTCAAGCTCTAAAGGGAAGAACCCAATCAGCATCCATAGTCCCCACGCACGGGACAGAGAGTTTGCATGTAGGGATACAACTAGAATATGAGGGAAAAATAACCGGTTGCTTTACTGAGTGCTTTTAGTGAAAAACTAGCCTTAACTTCTGTTTTTCTGCTTTTGCCATTGCTGCACGCGACAACGCTTTGGCTAAGCCACTATGTTCGTTCCACCCTTGCCAGAATCGGACGGCTTCTTCGGCATCCCAACTAGCAACGCGACCAGCTAAGGCTTGTTCCTTAGACCACAAATACTTTCGAGGGATCGGATCTCTATACTCACGGTCACAGGCAGAGTGCAGTTTGCGAGCAGGTGAACGTTGCCAATGGTCGGGAGACGAAGAACGACTTAACGAAGCTGGGGCATGGTGAGATAATGGTCCTGAGACGTCGAAGATCGACTTAACGAAACTGAACGATGTTGAGACTGTACTACGTCAAGGCTTTTCCACGAAAGTCAGGTTCAGTTCAGGATCCTTCTAGAAACTATGGAAAAACTTACAGAAAATGCTTTTCCCGGACCCCCAGTCGACTGAGTGGTCTGTGTAGTGGGACTTTTCTGCGCAAGTCGTCTTGGGTCGCACAATGTATGTGTCAGGGACTGCTATGCGCGGCTTCCTCATGTGCATGACAGGCGCTGACGCTGCTGCGTATTGGCGATCGAAAATCCACGCATTGCGTTCATTGGCAAAAGTTGCCTTTTCTTCCGTTTCAACGTAGGGCATGAACGGAAACTCACGAGGAGAGATACCCGGAGAAAGGCCACTGAGATGAGGATAGGATAGGGTACGTAGACTCTGACTATACGCAAGGTGGAGACGACACTTGTTGTGGGGTAAGCACTACAACTATGTAATCGTTTCCTGCGGCATACTGTAGGTAGCAGAACAAGTCTAATGCTCGACTTGCAAGCAAGTACCCATAGTCCATTTCCCGACTTCGTTCTCTGTCCAGTTTTTCTTCCTTTCTTTTGTCCATCCGCTTCAGCATCTTTTTTCGCATTGACCGTCTTCGCGAAAGTTCCACGGCCATCAAGTTAATACCGTCCTCTAACCTCTTATAGCGCGGCACCTTGAACCGTTTTCTAGTCACTTCTCCTGCCTCTATTAGAGCTTTAATACTAGTTGCAAACCAGCAGACTGCAGTGGCTACTGAAGAGCCAAAAAGAAAATACTAAACCTTATTCATGTCTTTCCTTTACGGTAAGCCTTAATTCTAAAATCTCCTTCGACTTCGCGAGACGCCATTGGCTAGAGGAGGTACTGGGACCCGTTCGCTCAAAAATAATGCGGTCCGCTGTGCTTGCACGCCGATTTAACAACGCCTCGGAGACCATTTTGGGCTTGAATGTGTGCTAGCGTCTAGACAGTAGGACAAGAAAAGTGGGCTTTTGCAAGGTTTTGGAAACTCAACGAGTGAGTGAGTGAGTGAGTCAGTGAGTGAATGAAAGGATGGCTTCTCAGACGAGGCTACTCGCTAGACTAAGTATGTAAGCATGTTCTTGAACGGAGATGCAAAGAAGTGCTTGGTCGGTCTAATGAACTTAGAACATGTTCATCGTGAACTGCTTACATCAGTGCTAGCCTTACTATTGAACCAACTGAACATTAGTATTCCTAGCCTAGACAACTATAGTACTACATGATAACTCTCCCCCTCTCTCTCTCGTCCTCGAGCAGGGGTCTCGAAATCTAATTTTCATAGACCAGAAGAAATCGCCTTGTTCGCTCTATCGCTCACGCGGTCAAACGACAGAAGTTTTCTTGACATCAAATTAGTCTTCCGAATAAATTTGTAATACGAGGACTCCATGCAGATGGTATCAGCGAAGTGTGACGTAATTTGTGCGTCTTTGATAGTGCTGTCCGTAGCACCCGTAGAGACTAGTTCTGATAGTGAGCGAGACCGAAGCCAGAGTGCTCCTCACAACGACACACAACAGTTTCGTCCGTCGAACAACACGATTTTGATGTTCTTCATGAAATGGTTCTTCTTAAAGTTCGAGAATGCGAATCCTCTGTCATGATGGATGGCGTTAGATATGGATGCTCAATGCAATGCTGCTTTGCAAGTAGATCTTCACGGACGACGTAGTATTGACTTGAGAGCAACAAAAAGGGGAGCTAGAGTTTTCGAAAACTAAAGTTACACTAGAAGTCGTGCTTCTTTGTAATACGCGATATTCTCTCGTTAGTCGGAGGTAGGTTAGGTTAGGTATTGCCTCACCAATATGAAGGGATGAGCCTTCGAGGCCATTAAAGAGCCATAACAGATGAAATTTCGCTAGACCGAAAAAAGGCACCGCATAAATATTAGCCAGATGGTGGAAGATGTGACGCATCCAAGAAACCAAAAATTCACCACTGATCTAGCCGAAAAAAGAAATCGAGGCTGACAATTGTATTCCTCGTAAGACCTTAGGTAAATTCCAAGTCGAGTACTACTAGTGCAATATCGCACCAGAATTATTACATTTTATTTTTGAGCATGTTGAAACAGTGAGGACTCCTCTAAAAAAGGAATAACAGCCTGCACACTAATTATAGCCTGCACACTCTACTACAGCTCCCCTTGGAGTACAACTACAATGGTGTCTCGCTCCCTCCTAGCACCAAGGCGAGTACTAGTACAGCTCCAAGGGGAGTACATTTTCCTCGTCTAGTAGTATACACACCTCCCAATGGGATCTAGTACATTTAGTGATATTTTTGAGATATCACTTATCCACCCAGATCTTGAAGGGAGGACACAGCTCCGATGATGAAGCAATTCTAGTTCACTTGCCAACAACCTTATTGCTAGTACGTTGATACAAAAATTCTTGCACAGAAGTTGCCATCTTCGTTCTAGAAGAGTTGTATCTATTAAGCGTCGTTTCTACAAAGTTGTATCAACATTTATTAACCTTGATGAACATGCGCAAGAACGCCCACTCGAATCGCCTATACGAAGCACAGAGCTTTCTCTTCCCAACCAAAAGCCGCTTTGTGCGTCTCGAAAACTCTTGTTAGAGGACATATTAGTAGTGGTGGACATAGTGGTGGTGGACATAGAAGTAGTTTAGTAAAACTGCTTCTACCTCCTCTACTTTTTCATCATGTTTGTGACAACTCTGACCCCCCTTATCATTTTTCTAGTTCTATCTACTGCTGCAGCTGCCCGGGAGAAACCTTACTAGTTTCAACAACTGACAGGCTCCATTTCTTCCAAAGGAGCACCTGGTCATATACTGCAGCCAGAGGAAGAGAGAGAAGAAAAAAATGATAGACGAAAAAGGAAAACTGATCACAGTCGCTTCGCCATAAATCTTCGTAAGCCTTCAGCAATTTGTGATGCCATTCATCGATGTCTTTGGTTGTTGGGTTTTCCATCTTCGGGAATCTGAGAGGGTCTCCTAAGCACATCGCGACTGCCATATCCCTCTTTGCAGGACCCGCAGATTAGAAAAGAAAGAGCCTATTAGTCTCTACTCCCAAATGGTGTTTCTAGAAGCAGAATACAATATTCAGTCCTCCATCAATATTAGAACTCCAGTCGCTATTCTATAGTGTAGATTGGAGTACTGCACCACCAATAGCCTTAAATAAACCATCCGAATCGTCCAAAGAAAGGCGAGACCGAAGCATCGAGTTTCACTGATACAGTGCGCAGAAACCCGAAAGGATCTTGTTTCACCGTGTAAAGCTGCGTATGTCCGAAAGCATAAACCGGAACGATCGGCGCGCCGCATTGCAGAGCGATTTTTATGATGCCCTTTCGTTTTTTGACGTAGAGTTAGAAGTTGCAAGTTGACCGATCTAGCTCGCATCTCCATGACTTTCCTACTTGAAAACCCCAACAACTTGTATGTTCATTCATAGAGTTATAATGCCTCATAGATGAGAGAAAGAGGCCAACTTTCAATCCTTAATAGAGGGATTCTTTTTTATCGGTCATTTCGAACATCCCGGCTACGCCATCCAGACAGATGCCTATTGAAGCGCGTTCTTCCTCGAGGCATTTGAGTATTAGAGAAATCAGACGTCCAATCGGCGTACAGAAGTCAAACATGCTCCTGCGACTTCAAAATGGCTCTTCACTGAATGCTTGATATGGACCCCTCCTAGCTTGTATAGCTGTTTCTGTCTACTTATGAGGCCACCCAGTAAAGAAAACCACGAACAAAACAAATATCTAACAACTGTGGTCACGTCTGTGCCTCTGATGGGATCTTATTCGCTAGCTGCGAAAACTATTTCTGCAAAAAAAACATCATCCTCATCCTCATTGTAGAAGCCATAAGACGATGTGTTTTTTTCCCGCTGGCAGGTACCCTAGCCGCTGAAGCATGGAACCAACGACCGGGAGCTTCATTACTACTGGCGCCACTAGCCATCGACAAAGACGGTCCGCAAACAACTTGGACCAGAGGGGATAACACGTGATCCCAAGCGTTCGAGCCACCGCGCTCGCATCCCTGAGAGCATCCCTCAGCCCTTTTTCCGCTTGAAAAAGAAGCCAAGGATGATGCTGAGGATGCTTCAGCGGTAGCCATAAAAGAGGAGCTAATCCGTGCGGGGCGACACAGTAAATACAAGGCTCCTTCTCTAAGGCTGGACGATGACAAGACGAAGGCCAGACCACGGAGGATTAGAAGGCCAGATCATTTGCTTTTTTCTGTACTAATAATACAGGGCATTTCATTTCAGTATGATGACTTTATAGGCATCTTAAGAGAGCAACAATGATCAACAACTTGGATATTCATTTTGATCTAGCTTTTTTCTGTACTAGAAATAGGCAGGTCTTTCCGCCTAAAGACTTTGACATCACTTGGTTTTTCGTGTACTAACGGGCAGGTCTTTGCGCTTCTTGGATCCGGAAAGTTTGTCTGAGAAAAGAAATTTAGTTACAAAATAATTAATAGGAAACCAAGGAGCCATAAGAAAGTGAGATGTACAAAGAATTGTGGTATTCGGTATATGCGTATTGTTCCTGGAGCATTCGGTCTGTCGCATTCTCTTTCTTCGATACTACATCCACCGGGGAGACGAATGTTGACATGCCCGCAGCCTTGTACTGTCGACGAAAATGAGGAATAAATACGACGAATTAGAGAGAGGAGAGGGAGGGAGAAAAAGATTTTTTCAATTCGTCACGAAAAAGTGACTAGCAACAGACTGATCCTGATGTGATTCTCACCTAACATCGGTAACACCCATCTTAAAGAGAGACAAAAAAGTCTTTTTCTTCTGATGTTCTGGTTGGTTTAATGTATTCGGTTTAGCAGGCTTGTCGCATGTACATGTGGCGAACAAGAAATATTAACAACTCTCCTGTATCATGTAAATACAACGAGAAGAGACATGCGTTTACACCTCCCACTGAAAAGCCACATCTGGCTCAAAATACTTGAAAGAACCTCAAATTATTCCCTGAGTCCATAAAACACCATCAGCAAAGTCATGCTGGATAGGTAGACGAAGACTCCTGCAGCGCAAAATTTCCAAGCAACCCATGCAAGGTGTGTAATCCCAAACATCAACTCCAGCACTTCGTCATCATCTAGAATTAGAACAACCTTGTAGATTCAAGACAAAATAATTCATCTGAATTATTACTGCAAAACAACTCTTACTTAGTTTCAAAAGTAATTAATCATACTTCGCCTGCATATACTTCGTCACCTCCAAACACATTTAAAAAGTGAAGATAACTAGAAAAACTCTGCAACCTACTTCAATTATTTTTGAAGAATAGTCACAACACTCGTGTCTCTTTTACTTCTAGTACGCTAGCTCGCCTTTGCTCTCCAGTTGTGACTTCAAAAAGTTCTACTTGCTTGACGAGTCTCAAAGCACAACTGATCAACAAGGACGATTTGTTTAGTACTACTGCTGTGACGATTTGTCACGAATGGGTTTATTACTAGCACTGTTGTCAAAAGCCTTAAGGTGAACACAGAGAGCACCCAACTAGAATTTGCCCGGTACGCCGCGATGCCGACCAGTATAATCACGATGGCAAAAAACGGAAAGGCGTTCAAGAAGAAGTATAGCGTCATCCCGACGCTTCGCTCCACCATGACGTCCAGTGGTACGCCCTCATCCACTTCGTTCAGCTTCCAACTTGGGCTTGCCGATAGAGAATGAAAGGACAAATAAAGAGCTGACTTCTGTAAGACAACAGAAGACCACACGTTTTCACTTGCTTCTGCGTCATCAATGCGATCTACAATAAATCTATCATGAACGGCGCGTACTCAGTGTCCGTCTGCAAGCAAGATTACTACTAAGTGAAAAAAACATAATATCCTTGAAATTATATTTCTGCTTTTTCATAAGAGCTTGTCTCGCAGAGTTGCAGCCATTTTTCCGTAGGTACCTGAGGCCCAAACAATTCTGGAGTCATCTTTCTCATTGGAAGACGGTAGAAATTTTTCTCGTCCTCCGAAGACGTCGCAGTGCCTCTCTTGCGTAGCGAGGACGCTTCTCGCCCGTCGGACGCAGCGGGGGTCGGAGACGACATGATTGCTCTGTAATTCAGTTAAGCAGCTTATGGGGTGATTATGGTACCCTGTTCAGTGCGTACTTACTTATGAAGTGAAAGTGCAACCACTCATCCCGTTCCTCAAGGTCGTTAAATCTAAGTCTTAAATTCGTGGCTTTAGATGCAAACTAGATTGGTCTTCGTTCTTTTTCGACGAATGCAATAGAGCGGTCTGGTATTAATCTTTGCATTCAGGCAAAAAAGTATAGTTCTTTCAGTTTTCTCCTTAATTCAGATAAGGATCCAAAAAAACGGGGATCTAGATGGAAACTAGAATAAAAGCGTTTTGGATCTCTCAGAACAGGGAGGTCCCTAAGGATGAAAGTTTTAAAAAAAGGGCGCAGGCTATGACTTATAACTCTTTTCGCAGGGTTGTAATTCGGCCGCATATCGATAGGTCTGCTTTTGCAGGTTTAGGCTAGCGCTCAAGGCCGATAGAACTTATAAGTTCGTGCATATATCTTTTGAGCTTATGCTCCTTTTCTACGCATGAGGTAAGGTGTTCCGGGCGATCTTCACTATGGTGTTCCACCTCGTAATTATCTTAGTTGTGAAGATTTGGCAGCAAAGCGTATTCAAGTAAGTATTTCTAAATGGGAATCTTTAAGCGCGACTTACCAGGTTAGTCCAAAATGATTGGCTTCGCTTAATTCAACGTAATAAAGCTGTTCCCCTTGATGTGCGAGTATTGACTATTAAAGCCTCCCCTCTGCAGCTGGTCCAATGGTTCGCCGGTTACCTTGGTGCTATGTGTGTTGGGTTGGTTACAGATGGAGTAAGGTGAAAGGATATAAGCTAGAAATTATTTATTCATCAAAACTATCTAAAATATTACATCTAGCTAAGAGTAAGCCCTTATTTCAGCCACCGGGGGTCCCTTAATTCAACATCTATCTTTTCGGATGCAACTTGTGTGGGTAGCTTGCAGCTTCGCCTAGTGATCATTATGGAGGCGCTTGGCTACCATGATCTGGAGGAAAAAATATCAACCCAGCCTGTACTCGTTAGGCACTTGGCTACCATGATCTGGAGGAAAAAACATCACCCCAGCCTGTACTCGTTAGGCGCTTGGCTACCATGATCTGGAGGAAAAAATATCACCCCAGCCTGTACTCGTTAAGATCTAAAGTAAATGATGATAGGCTACCTAGACCCAGAGCATACGTTAGAAATTCTATCGGCGTGTAGGAATTCTGAACCTAGCTAAGGAATTCTATAGATACGGTACAGAAATCCTTCCCCCTCACAGCGAAGGATTTCCATAATTATTATATTCTGAAGAACAAAGGGCGGCTTTCCTCGTCATGCACGCTTGGTCTCATACTGGGACAACACAGAGGCGACATGTGATCACTCCACTGCGGCCCCACCGCACCACTCGTCAATTCAACTGAGTAGCTTCAACTTGAATGATTTTCAGCTCTGGTGAAATTCTACATGATAAGAAATGACAGCACTCGTTCACTAATATCAAAAGTTCGAAATCATCGTGGTCCATCTTCTTCGCTCTCATCTCAACTGTGTCTGACATCTCTTCCTAATAGAAGCCACCTCTTTCTGCGAGAAGTGCATACCACGCTCTCGCGGCCGCACGCACTACGAACTGCTGGCATTCCGCGTCGCCCCGAAACTGGCATTCCGCGTCGCCGTTTTCGGGCTTGGCTTTTCTACACAACAGCACGCAGCTTCCAGGGCTCGCGGCTCACTCACGGTTGCCCCTTTCCTCCGTTTGACTGCGACCGTGGAGAGGAGCGGGCCCACAGCGGGCTTACGACAACAGAGGCGGCAGAAGGCCGGCGCGGGGTCGCTAATTCCCTGCGGCCCTTCATGCGGTACAAGCAGCGCTACGGGCGGCCGAAAAACCCCGGGCGACGGGCCGCCGCCGCGCCTTTGATTTCCGCCGCGACCTCGACGCATAAGGAAGCCGGGACGGGGGTGGGCCTCGGGGGGGGCTGCGCAGCGGGAAGTCACGCGCTGTGGGCGGCGCCGCGCCACGCACGAGGAGTGCGGGGTCACGGGTTTCCTTCGAGCGCAGGAGGGGCAAAAAGGGACGCGCGCGGACAGTGCTGACGCGTGGCAAAAAGCCACGCAACGGGCGGAAGGGCTTGGAACCCCTTTGCGCCTTGGTATTCTAATGCCAACCGCGGCGGCCACCCTACGCCAGGGTCGTGCGCTTCACGGCACGCCTCTATGGGAAGGACCAGGGGCGGCAGGTGCTCCAGGGAGCTTCGCCCGCAGGCGCGCGCCACCGCTTGCAAACACGTCGTGCCCGCCTGTGCTAAGTGACCCGCCTGAGCAGCCTACAGGGAAAAAGGCCCAGACTTTCCGCTTGTGGTCGACATTCTGCCGGAAAACAGAAATACTCGAAAGAAGTTCCAAAGCTCTCTTTTTTAATGAGAAGAGTGCCCACATGTGCTCGCTCAGATAGCCCCACGAGAAGAACTTATCGCGGAACTGCGTGAGCATGTCCGGAGCCTCTCACGCAGTTCGATTCCTACATGGTATGAACTGCGTGCGCAGCTTTTCGCCTTATTTCGAAATATTCGCCCGAAAATCATTCCCGCACTCAACGGAAAAGCTTTCAAATATTCGGCGAATACTCCCAAATATTCTCCCAATATTCGCAAACATTCGCAAAGTATTCGAATAGTTTTAAATATTCACGACCATTGGCCGCCGATTAAAAATCTACCGATTTCCATACAGCGCGGCACCGTCAAAGCGCTCAGCGGCGTTGCTGCTGAGAGCCTTGACGGTGGCGCACTTTTGCCAGCCTTGCCGAGGAGCCGCCTCTCGGGGGGTGACGGGGACCAAAGCCTCGGCGCGCCGGGTGCAAGAAGAAAAGGAAACGGGGGAAAAAGGGGGCAGAGAAATCGACAAGGGAACCGAAGCAACGCCGTCCCTTAACGGTTTCGCCTGAGAGTTTCGCGGGGATCCACTCGAAACCGATACCCGCAGGAAGTTCGAAACTTTTAAGGGACAGAACTTAGGCAAGCCGAAACCGCTCAGGGACTTGCAAAACGGCCGGGCGCTTTTTGCAATTTGTCTTTGCTTTTTTGGCCTTTTTGCCGCGTTTGTGTTTTGCGCTGTGGCCATTCCCCATCTGTGGGGCCTCGCCGTGTGCCTCGCTTTTTGGCGGGTTTGCTCCCTGAGTGTTAAAAAGCCGAAGCCGATGGATCAGCGACCCAGGCGAAACCGATAACGGCACCCGGAAAACCTTCGCCGCCTTGGGGGTTTTTGGTGTGTTTCGCCACCCACCACAGTGAGAGCACAGGCCACAAGCGCGCAAGCCTCTGGGGATACTATGCACCCCGCCACCGCGTCGCTTTGTCGCGGTGCGCAGATGCGTCGCCACTTTGCTCCGCTCGCACATCGGCGCGGCGACTGAACAGACAAGACAGCCGAACAAGCAGAACGGCGCAGCAGACAGAACGACCAACGGAACAGACAGAGCGACAAAACAGACAAGACGACCAAGCAAGGAGAACGACAGAAACAGGACCGAACTGCCAGAACGACGGAGCAGACAGAACGACGGGACAGACAAGACGACGGAACCGACAAGACGACAGCACAGACAGAACGACACAACAGACAGAACGACACAACAGACAGAACGACGGCCAAACAGGTGGAACGACTTAGCAGAAAAGACGGGGGGACGCCCTCGGGCCGTTGGGCGCTGCGTGGCCATGCTTCAGCCGCAGCCACCACGGCGCGCCCTCGAATCACAGGGGAGCGAGAATGGAGCGAAGAAGGGAGCCAGTGGAAGACGACAGCCGCGACAGCTCTCCAGAGAGCCCAGCCCTGCGAGCTCTGCGCGGGTTGGCTCGCATGTCGCTGCTGTCTGCTCCTCTCTCTTCCCTTTCTCCTCCCCCGTTGATTCGAGGGCGCGCCGCGGTGGCTGCGGCTGGCGTGCGCCGTGTTGTGTCTCTCAAGACGGGGGCGGTCCTCTTTGGACTGGCTCCGCCCTGTGTTTGGGGCCGGCTGCTGGCGGCCGCGGCTGGGGTGCGCTTGGCGGTGTCGTGGTGCGGCTTTTTCTTAGCTTGACCGATGGCGCAGCCTGCAGGCCTTGAGAGGAGGGAACACCGTGGACGAATCTGCTGAGAGAGACCCACCCAAGGAATGGGACAAGCGGAAGCCAGCAAGAGCTCGCCCAAACTGGTCAAATTTGACAAATTTCACAAATGCCTGTCTATCATCATTTTGGAGAAGCTTGAAAAATAAAAGGTCGAGAGCCTCTACCACAAAACTCGGGACACCTTCAAGGCCTTGGCCCGCTTTGGTAGGTCTCCGGCGGGGGTCCCCTTCGGTGTGGGTACTCTTCGCTGCGGAGGCCATTCCCCCGCGCAGCGGTCGCCTGCGGTGTCCATGCATTCCCTGGCATACCTTGCCGCGTGTCGCGGGTGGCGTAGTGACAGGCTACGAGGCTACGCGCGTGGCCTTTCGGTGGCAATTCATAAGTCAGCAAAATAAGGAAGCGGATTTACTTCAGTGGAGACTATAAAAGGAGAGCACCCCGCTCAGCCTTTTCGGCTCAGAATCTAGAGGGGGGCCGGGCTCTAGGGCTGGGGACTTTTTTCACGTGTGATAAAAAAGCAGAACAGGCCTCAACTTTTTTGGCTCAGGATCTAAGTAGAGGGAAGGGATTTGGCTGCGAATCTATTTCAGAGAAGACTGCAGAAGCTAATACCCCTACCGCCTTTGCTTCCCCGAATCTAGACGGGAGGGCGCGGGCGATAAGCAGACCCACCCCTTAGGGGGCCAGAAAGCTGCCCCCAACTTTTTCCGCCCAGAATCTAGGGGGAAGGGCTTGGGCTGTGGGCCTTTTTCAGTGGGGACCGGAAAGGGCTGAACGCTTCCCGCCTTTTTTGGTCCAATTACTGGAGGGGAGTGCTTGGGCTTTGAATATATTCCCGCGGGCTTTCGGAAAAGAGGAGAGCTCTCCACTGCTTGCGGCTCAATTACTAGAGAGGACTTTCTTCGCGTTTTCGTTTTCAATTACTAGAGGGGAGTGCTTGGGCTGCGAATTTATTTCACTGGGGACCAGAAAGAAGCAAACTCTTCCCGCGTTTTTGTGGTCAATTACTAGAGGGAAGCGCTTGGGCGGTGAATTTATTCCGTTGGAGATTAGAGCGGGAGCCTCTTCTTTGCTCATTTTTGCAAGTTTTCCCCTTGAACGTGAGACCGTCAGGGATTTTTGCGAGTGCTGTCCCATGTCAAAAAATGCAAAACCTCGCGAAACTCTTAAGCGAAACCGTTAAGGGACAGTGGTACTTCTGGGCCGTTTTCGATATTTTGCCACTTTTCTTCCCTCTACAACGTCACGAGACGAGCCGGAGGCAACTCGGCGAAGGATGAAAAAACGTGGCACAAAAAACTTTGGCGAGTGTCCTCGCCGAAGCTTGTCGCGCCCACGCCTCGCCGGCGCCCGTGTTTTTTCAGGCCTTGTGTACCGTGC